CTGTTCTTATCCTAGTCCCATGGGGTGTTTTCCCACGTTTTTCCGAAAAATATTCACGTGAAAATTATTCGCTGCACTTTATGTCCCAGTAAAATTTTTCGTGTAGAAGCATAATAATTCTGTCGTGGGAACTGAGTTCACCGAGTGGACACACGAGCATTGCCAAAAGTTGTAACCAACATCTGGAAGTGATTTTCTAGGAGTGGGCTGTAAAAGGTGGGTAAGGTTTATCTCCTACCTGTGCGCACTGCAAGGTGTCTCATCCGGTCATACACTCGGGGAATACCCTCTCTGGTTCGCCTATCATCCGACCTACACAAACAAATTCCCACAGATATCCAAAAAACAAAACATTTGTATTCCCCACACGACGATAAATATTCCTATTAAATTACGCACCCTCGATTACTTGCGAAATTCCAAATTAGAAATTGCAATTTTTTCCAAGGCCGGTTTTCACCCCATATCTCAGAATCGAAGGCGCAAAGCGAATTTTTTGGTAGAACATTTTTTATCCAAAAAAATGAGAGCTACAAAAAAGGTATTCACGAAAATATCCATATCTCCCTTCAATTTCCATAAATCAGTGAAAAAGGGGTATGAAAAAAAATTGAGTTATCAAAATTAAATAACTTGCCGAATTCACCCAAAAACTATCCCAAAAATATATAATAAATATATAATACGATTGAAAAACAAAATTCCCGCCTCCATTATCGTAAATAGATAGCCCGAGAGCATAACACTAAATTTTTTCCTTCGCCGTGAAAAAAAAAAGAAAAGTCCTGCCGAGAAAGCCTTGAAAGTCCAGTAAGATCGGTCGACAATTTTCCAGGAAAAATGAGGTTAAATAAAATAGACGTAAATGCGCATGTCCAAACGGGTAAAAGCGTGGCGGATGAGCCCCCGCGGAATGGGGCGTGGCCAAGTGCCATCACCCCGATCCTATCCTATTCGTTTTTTGCGCAATAACCGGACCAATGACGAGCCGAGGCGTTAACGCTCACTATTCCATGAAATACAGATACATACTCATCTCACTTGAAGCCCCACACAATCATCCTCCCAACGCTTATAAAGCCCACAACCCGGAATCGACCAAAAACGGGGGTTGCTAAAATCAACGCTCCACCAATGCCTCCAATCCTCAAAATTCAGAGTATCCTCTTACTCCTCTGAGCTCGGTCTAACCAGTTTTACCTCAATGACCGACACCTATCCTCTCCCCTAATAATAAATTATAAATCAATGCATGAGTGAGACAATTATTCGATAAAACATGTGAAAATAACGACATGTCGAAAAAAGCCTCACATCAATCTAAAATCCCCCTAAAATCTACTTAAAACTATTAATTAACAAATAAACAAAAAAAAACACTCAAGTGACGCAATCGAATTAAAATGACCTATCGTATCTGTGTGATTTCTCCGAGAATTTCTATCGTCTCGTGAGTATCATTACAATCTTTAATGACAGCTTGCACTTAATGTTTAGACAGAATTATAATTATTAGGATTAATAATCATTTAGTGGCGGTATCATCTTTTAATGTCGTCGTTAACGCGTGTTTACATTTACGATTAGGACCTGATTATAGGGACAATTAACGGTAATTTGTCGGGAAATTGGAGACAGTGTCGTGTTGCTCTCACACTCTCTGTGAATTTTCTTTCATTTTCAATGTCACAGCCGCAAAGGGGCGTGTCATTTCCTGAAGTCATTTATAGGAAAAACCGGACGAGATCACCGGAGTTAATGTGATCCTTCCGTACCGTTTTTCCTCCATCCAATGTAATATTACACTCTTGTTGTTTTTAGTTTATTCAGTGGTAAGTTCAATGATTCCGAAATTCCCTCAGCTGTCAGTGATCCTCAATGAATTGTTATTATTACTCTAATTACTCCAACTGTATATTGTTTTTCTATTTATTTATTATCCCCGGAATTCAACTCTTTTATTATTTTTCCGTTCTCCCTCGTTCGATAATTCTTCGCTCCCTCGATTATTTATTTTTATTTTTCACTTTCTTCGGTTTTATTTTTGGACAATGGAGACTTTGTTTAGGGAAATGGCGTGAACACATCCTGTCACGTACGCCAAATTAATGTTTAAACTTGGTTTTGGTTTATTCAGTGTTTTGCAACAATTTTAAAATATCCGTCTTATTGTTTGCTCCTCGATTTTTCACCGCTGCTTGGAAATATTATTATTGTTTATAGTTGTGGCTCGTTTTTTTTTTTAAATCCCAGCGACTTCCCGTTGGCTGTCGGGCCTGTGGTAATAATTGCACATGCGACAGAGGTAAAGAAAAAAATAAAGTACTGCGACAGTAACATACGTAGTCAAAACATTGAAACATTCAACCGAGAGTGACCCTCTCGCTGCTGTTCTTCAGTATAAAACTTATTTTCTGTAATTCTCTCGTTCTGCATTTTTAATTATTTAAAAAAAAACAATCGATTGGATTTTTATATGATATTTTTGGAAATCTTGGCACCCGACGTGAATTCGCGGAGAGAAAAGTCTGATAAAAATAGAGATCCAACAAAAAATAAAAATTTACACAATGTTACGTAAAAAATATTAAACATAATGATTCGTCCAGTTGTTTATTAAATTCTGATGATTCCAGGAGAATCAACTTTTTCCGGAAATCTTAATATTTCAGATTTTTTTATTATATTTTTATAGAAATTCGGATTACGTGAAGCGTTCGGTCATTTTTTATTCAGTATTTTTCTCTTTGAATTATTATGTGTGGGATTAAAGTTGCTTGTGATTGGTGATCACGAGAGCAAAATTTATAATGGGTGGGGGTAACAGCGTGGTGCGAATGTGTCAAAGTCTTAAAAGTCTGTGATTCGTTTCGTGTCACTTATATCGTCAAGCCACGAATTTTCAGTGATTATTATTCGTGATTAATCAGGACATCCGTGGATATTGTTAATTTAAAAATTTCAATTAATTAAGATTGTGACGAGTATGAGTACATAATTATGAGCAATGCTGCGAGTGGAAAGAAAAAAAGATTTTGCTCGCGGAAATTTCGCGGAAATTACGCGTTCGTCATGAACAGATAATCCACTATTCTAAATTGTGAATCATTCATAAATTATTAAGGAGATCATTAATTCTTGTGTGAATTCAGTGGATACATTCCAGAATAAATTAATTTAATTTAAATTACGTGAGATCAGAGTAATTCTGGAGTGAAGTGGCGTGCAGTGAAAAATACACGAATGAATTTTAATAATTTTCATTTATATTTCGATACCGTCACCCTCAAATTCAGGTTTGTTCCTTAATTTTCCGCCATTTCACTACCACGTCATTAATTAATCCTTGAAAATACTGAGATGAATGACTTTTACCCGGCGTGCCAATTAATTTTCCCAGAAAAAGCTGCATCATAATTAATTTCTCAAGAATATTTTCAAAATACCCGCCAATAATAAACGACCTGATTTGCACTTCTTCTATTTCTCCCAGGTGATTCATGTCCTTTAAATGCATGTAATAATTATGCGCTGACATTTGCAATTACTACTCGACCCGAGTAATTTAATTTTTCCACTTTCTCCGGTGAATACCATTTTCCTCAGTTTCTCTTTCAATTACTTCTCGTGAGTATCGATTCTCTTTTTAAATTCTTCCTCAAATTTTGTAAGTGATAGAGGTAATTATTGAACCTCCGCTGGTCTTTGTAGATGAGTTCCCTCGGTCTAAAAACTCAAGTCTTTTCCACTCGTCGAGGATGCTGTGTCAGCAGAATATACTCCCGCTTGTTATGTTATCGTACTGCTACATATATACTACATGAATCTCAACTGTTACACATCCTTACATATCCCATCACCCCCAGTCTGAATAAAAAATTTAAATTATTAATCCAATTCGTTCTCTTGCAATAAACAAAAATAATTCATTCTTCTAAAAATGTCAGGTCGGAGTAAAATTTTCACCGCATCCCGGAATTTATTTCTTGTAAAAAAATTCTGGGAATTCAAGGAGAATTTTCTCTATCACTTTGCCCTCTCCTCTATTTTTATTTTAACGCGAGGCATTTTTTAAAGTTTGTTTCCGTGTATTTATATTGTTGCACAGAATTTAAAAAAAAAGTGACATCACTCCGTCTGCTAACGAAAAAGAATTACATTGTACGTGCCAGGCTTGAAAACATTAGCGAACATTTCCTTAACAATTATCTACAATGTTATTGTTCTTCCAGCGCTTTCGTTAAAATAATCGCAAAGTGATCAACTGCTGACAAGAATACATGGTTATCGTCACGTCTCGAGCCACAAAATATTCCGTAATAATTTATTTAAGCTGATTAGATACAGGATAAAACAATAGTATAATTTACTTTTATATTCGCGGCGATTGAAATTGAGTGACCGATGAATGCCTCACCTCTTATTCTAATAATTAATTATACTCAGAATTAATAATAAAAAAACAGCTAGCGCATTCCAAAATCGTTGCTTTCAATTAAAAAAAATTCATGAATCCATCTGTCAACCGTCGGCAGATCAACAAATTGAATAACAAATAGAAATAATCCAATGGAAATTAAAATAGTACATCAAGATTTCAGAAAAAATTATTGACATCTCAAAATAATTTCCGCGTACCCACCTCCAATCACACCCCAAAACCTCAACCTCCCAAAAACTCAGAAATCCCATCGATTCTCTCGATTCTCTCCTCTCCAAACATTGCAAAACATTAAATCCCACAATCGATTCTCCGACACGTCCCGAGCCTAAAACCCCGGTGCAAAAAAAAAGAAAAAGAAAAAAAAAGGCGGCATAAAAAACAATAAAATGTATTGCCCTTCATGACTTCTGAAATCGGAAGGAATTTCAGGAATGACAGACCACAGGGGTGGTATATTCAATGAGGGATGTGGAGAAAAAAAAAAGAGAGAAAAAGAGAGGGGGAAAAAAAAAACGTTGCCACAGGCACGAACTGGAAATTGGGATAGTTTAAAGCGCAACTTAAAATGCATGATCACACACAGAGGTGAAATAAAGTTTGAATGCATCTTTTAGTTTTTGGGGGGAGGGTGGGGGTTTGCTCTGGAGAATGATGAATCGTCGACGTAAGGCCCTGTGTTTTTGTCAACCCCTGGGGATGGGTGAGAAAAAGAGAGAGGGATGAAGTGTCCAAAAGGTGGATGGTTTTAACTCCGAGGACACAGGGATCGGTGGAAGGGATGGAAGAGACCGAGAGGGGAAGGGGTAGAAGACCAAAGGGGGTGGACATTAAGATGGGGTTCTCGGGGTGTATTTGGGGCGTATAACCAAAATGCTGTTCAAATGCATGGGGAGGAGAACCTTAACTGGCTCGGTGGGAGTTTTAGGGGGAGACAAAAATAAAAAAATAAAAATAGTAACATCAAGTTTTACGGATGTAGGTGAGTCCGATGAACAGGAGTTAAGCCGTTGTACGATTGCGAAGTCGCGCACCATTTCGTGTCCTGGACCCAACATACCCAACTATTCAATGTGTCACGAACTACTGAACGATTCAACAATGTGTCTCAACTCCTCTTTGTAAAATAATTCTCGTCTTTGATTTTATTTTTATTTTTCACTTGAGAAGATAATCATAAATTCAGGGATTAGTTATTGTACGTCGGATTAAAAGGATTTAGGTAATGGGAATTAATTACCAGTAATTGGTATTCCAGGGTTTAATTTTTTATTTAGTTTTTAATTTGTTTGGTGGATTTATTTATTTATTTAGACGTATTTACGTGGGGGTGATTGGAGATTATGTTTAATGTTAGAAAGGTAAATAGATGTCTGGGTTTTTAATTTCGGTTGACGATTTTAAGTTAGTGTCAACTCAAATTTGTATTTGGGTAAATAGGGAGATGTTGTTTGGGTTAAATATTGAAAAATTATAACCCTTTGGAGATGATTTACCTCGAGGATAAATTTTATCCTGGGGTTTATTTGGATAGCAGAGGTTGGTGGAACCTTGAGACAATATTAAATACTTGAATACTTCAGATTTTCAAACAATTTATCTTGTTTAAATATTTAACGCATAATTATGAATATTCATAACATTTTTTACACCATAAAAGGGTGTACCACAATAAATAAATATAAAAAATAATAAATAAATAAAAAATGATTATCAATTTATTATTTATTATAATTGATTTATTTATCTCGCAGTGACCGATAGGAATTCCGCATTCAAATGATTCTTCAAAAATCTCGGCCACCAATTCTTGTAAATTGGATTGAATTTTTCCGAAAAAAAGGCCTCCCTCACTTCCTCGGAAGTGGGGATTTCCCCGATTCAATCCTCGACCCGAGTTGGCTCTGAAAAAGGCATGCGCACCCTTGAGGCGCATCCAGTATTCACCACCGGATAATGATGAGCTGATTGAAACAAAAATCTGAGAGTACCAAGCAATCCACAATCCAAACATTCAGTCAAAATCATATAAAATTATAAAACCGAGATAAATAAAACAAAAAGGCTGTCGCAGGTTAAAACCGAGGGAATGTTTTGTCAATAGGCGCAGGTTCACTTGAAAATTCAAGGTGTAAAATAAATACAGAGGGATTGAACGTAGGCAGTGGCCAAATAGTCAGTCAGAGAACTTTTAAAACTTGCAACACATGTTTCGTATTAGATGTCGCCTACCTGTCTTCAGGGTTTTATTTCCTGACCCGTCTGCGCGCACCGGCTATTGAAATACGACCAATAGAACACATGTTTCCCATAAAAATTGGGATTTCCCCAAGATTATTTACAGGGCCATTTTCCCCTTTAGCCTTCATACTCCATTGGCAAAAAATTCACAAATTTTCACCAACTAGTCGTCCGAATATCTGAAAATTTCTAGATCTCGCATAATTTCTTTATCTCGCTGTCTCTGGTGCTCTCACCTCTTTCCGAGAGATTCTCCACTAAAATCTCATCCCTCCCTCTCCCACCCTCTTCCTCCCCCGCAGTCTCACCTCACTCTCCCCCCAATACCAGCACAAGGTAAATGCGCCATGTCTGTCTCCCCCAGAGCAACTCTCTCTCCCTCTCTCTCTCAATTTTCCTTCTCTCTCCCTAAAACCCATAGGAATACTCTATACCCTGAACAGTGTTGGTTCATACTCGAGCGTTTGCCCCGCACAAGGGTGGAGCCTATTCCACACCAAGGCCACAGTACAACCCCCTTTTGGGTCCATCACCGATCTTGAAAATCTACAACGAAAACGTGACACCCAAAGCTGGTACCAGTCGAGATACTCAAGTGCCAGTGATCGAATCGCCAGACTAACCCGCACCTTACAATTTTACTTTTTTACACAAATTGTTTTTTATAACCAAACGATTCCACGAATAGTTTGTAGTGCCAAATCGTGACGTGCAGTGAACACAAATTAAATTATTCTCTCAATAATCATCAGCACAAATTCGTGATAATAAATGAAATCCATAAATTATTAATCTCGTTATTCAAAAATAATTCATTATTGTTTATTGCTATCAATGGCACCGATGATTGAACGCCATGGACGCACCTCGAATGTCGTTCTCGCGAGTGATCCATACGTCGCGAGTTGGCGATACAAACAATCACTCCAAAGAAAAACAGTTCGTCTAGTCGAAGGTACACGTAAAATCCGTTATAATTTATTGTACACTCAAATTAGCCAGTAAATATACATATACATACTGTTGGCTTGACGGCCGGCCCTCAATGGGAGTTCTGCGAATTCTGTATGAGAAATTGTGTGTAACTGAGAGCCGTCGTCGAGGTGGATTTGCAACGCGGTGAGAAAGAGAGAAAAAATTGCACATGGTTTTGAAAAAAAAAAGGATACGACGTTACGGTCTATCACCAGGAGAAACTCTCACCTCTCGGTGTTGGTGTGACGATGCATGCACTGTGGAGAACCAGCCCCATCGAGACCTGAGGCCCTTTTGCCTTTTTTATACCTCTCCCATACTTCAATTATACACAGAATGTAGTTTCATTTTTTAAAGATGAATTATTCACGATAAATTTGCATTGTCGAGACGTTCGTTAGAGCATTGGAATTTTTTTTATGACGAGGGAGGGATGCTCTCTTATCCGCCTCGTTTCATCCCTCGTCTAGATTTTCTCCACTTTTAATAATGAGACATCGGTTGCGAGAAAAAGATTTCAAGTGAAACCGACAATTACTCCAGATGAGATTTGATATTATTCTGTAATAATAAACAATTCGATCCAGAGATGTAGATAAATTTATAGTTTAATTCTCCTGATAAAAAAAAACACTGGCAGTGAACTAGAAAAATTATAAAGACAAATTAATATGCGGAATCAGATAATGAATTTGATTTTGGACCTAGGTCACTGTGCCCAATCAGACACCGTGGACCTAAATTACAGCCACCACTTGGACCATCAAAATAATAACAACAATCCCCACGTGAGCAACAACAACGAGGAGCACTCGATAAATCCAAATCAGCACAATTGCATTGGCAATCCACCACAGGGCGGTGTAATGAAGGAGAAGAGTAAAAATGCTGCGCGTTCGAGACGCGAGAAAGAGAATACAGAGTTCCAAGAGCTCGCTAAATTACTACCACTTCCTGCAGCAACAACATCGCAATTGGACAAAGCAAGTGTCATAAGATTGACGACAAGTTACCTGAAGATGCGAGCGGTATTTCCAAACGGTAAGAAGACCAACCACGATGATACCTTGTTATTCCATTCACCAGGGGTACCATCCATTCTCTCAAACACCTCTTCACTATTAAATGACAATCGATGGGATATCCGAGACTTTTTAGTAGGAGGAGCAAAAAATAGCAGAGGAGAAGACGGCGATGACGCACCACATGAAGCATTAGTACTTCTGCTTCTTTTTTTTTTCCCTTTTTTTTTATTTTTTCACCCTCCCGCCACACATACCGTTTGCTTTGTAAGCAAAGCATGGGGGCTGTTGTTAAAGCGGTTACAATAGCACTGTGTCCCATCCTTTTTGTCGCGCCCTCTTATTCCTATACCACTTATTCCAAACTTGTAGACCGGCCTTACACGTCGTTTCAACTTCAAAACCCCAATTGAATTTCAAGTGGCCGCATCCCTCCGGAATAAACTGACAACCACCAGATACTAATGCGTCTTTATACCTTTGAGTTCGATTTAGGGTACCTTTTTTGGAGAGTTATGTCTAGCTTTCGTCGATTCTGGGGTACGTCATTTGGTTTTTTATCTTTTATCGCATTTAATCCGGAATTCGGTGGGGAATGAGAGAAATATTTGCGTATCCCAGTCTTCGGAATCTATTTGAAAAATTTTATTGATGAAACATTGAGTAAAATTCAAAATATCCTCGTGCTTGAAATGTAATTAATTATTTTTATAATTCATTAAATATCAATTGAATAAAAATATGGATTGAATAAATATAATTGTGAGGATAATTTCTTCAGGTTTAGGAACTGAATGGGGAGCGCCGACGCCGGCGATAAATGATCCTCGAGACGCAGCGATAAAAGAATTAGGATCTTATCTCCTCCAGGTACGTGAATAATTGAATAATTACTCACCCAGTAATTTCATGAACCTTTGTAAAAAAATTGTGTTGAAAGTTGAAATTATTTTCAGACTCTGGACGGATTCATCTTCGTTGTAGCTCCAGACGGCAAGATAATGTACATAAGTGAAACAGCGAGTGTTCATCTGGGTCTATCACAGGTTGAATTAACCGGAAATAGTATTTTTGAGTATATTCATCCAATCGATCATAACGAGATGCTCGATGTTCTGAGTTTACCTCTTCCTGGCTCAGGTCGTGCCTTTCCACCTCCAAATGCACGGGGTAATATCGAGCTCGAGCGTGCCTTTTTCCTCAGAATGAAATGCGTTCTGGCAAAGAGAAATGCTGGATTAGTAACATCGGGATGGAAAGTAAGAAATCATTTCTATCCCCTAGCTGCTAATGCCACCCTTCGAATTTTTCGAAATATTGGTGCAATAAAAGAGGGTAGAGGGGCGGGTGAAAATTACGTGTGATTAAGAATGGGGAGATCGAGAGCAGAGGGACAAGTATTTACTGAGCTAAATTGCTCAACATATGCTCATGGTTTTTCTACATTTATGGATTAAATTCTTCAGCCAATCGAATTAATTCATACGTATGATTTGGAATAATCAGGGGTTCTTTGTGGATTTCCGTGCGTGAGAGTTGACACTTGGGAGACATTCACCTCACTGCTTTAAAAAAATCTCCCTAACAAATTAATTCCATATCCGTCGTCATACGAGTACACCCGAGAATTTATAATTTTATTTTTTTTCTTTGGTCAAGTACCACTTGTTCTTACTCCCAGTATGTGCAGAGAAAAATTGAAAAATGCAGTCTACGTATTACGAGGCGTTGAAATTTTTACGCATCTGCGATGCAGATGCACATGCAAATTATCACTAGTGTCACTAGCTTTTATCCCCTTTTCCAATTACTCGTCTTGTTATTCCCCTTTATCCTTGGAAATTGCTAATTTTCAAGCACTTTTTCGCCACCCCACATTCTCACTGGATTCTAATGAAATTATTAACTCTACGTGGAACGATTTAAATATACAGATTTTTTTAATACAAGTCTCAATCATGAGAGAATCGGATAGAATGTAAAAATCGTTTGTAGTTTAATTACAAATTATCGAAACGCTCGAACAAATTATCGAATTATAAACAAATTAATCACTCGAACCATCGGGTGGATTTTTTGTTAATGTTTAATTGTTGTCTCTCCTGCAGGTGATTCACTGCTCTGGCTATTTAAAAGTCATAGCCCGTGGTCCTTCCTACGAGGAATATCAAACGATCGGTCTAGTTGCCGTAGGTCACTCACTTCCACCCTCAGCAATAACCGAAATAAAGCTTCATCACAATATGTTCATGTTCCGTGCATCACTGGATCTCAAACTCATATTTCTCGATGTCAGGTACGTACAATAAATAAATAAATTACCGATTATTTTTTGTTCATTACCAATCTCAAACTGCGCGGTGTAAATTTCAATGGGAAAATTCTTGATGGACAGCCATTAAAATCCGGTTCAAGTTACCCAGTTCAATATTCACCCACTGTGCATTACTACCGATTCTTTTTTTTTCCTGTCGTTTTTTTTTATTTCATCAACACCCAGAGTAAATAAAATCTGTCGCAGCAGCGCTGAAATGAAAACGATATCCACTGGGAACGGCGTCATGTGCTTCGTTATGTGTATTAAGTCGTCGAAAAAAAAAAGAGAAAATTGAAATGCAGGAAAAAATGACTAAATAAAGAGTATATCTGATTTCAGTGTGAAGGACCTCACGGGCTACGACCCCCAGGATTTAATCGAGAAAACACTGTACCATTACGTGCACGGATGTGATATTTGGCATCTTCGAGAGTCACATCAGATATGTAAGTCAAATTAATTCATTAATTTTTTAACTTGAAGAGAATAAGACGAAAAATACAATCAAATAATTTATATTATTATTATTTATGGGGTGCATGTAGTAAAGTTTCATAATTTACCATTTACCATTTACCATTTACTACATAGAACATAAAAGAGGAAAACTCAACACGATTAGCGCTATCGTTGTTTGAACAGACCCGCAGTTTGACGAGCATTAATCGGTGGAGCTCTCACTTCACCCTCTCTTTCCCTCAACAATTTTCATCCCCTCCTTTCCCTCGAGCAAATCCCACATAATGTTCTGCACGTGTGATTTTCATATCCCCAATATTAGGATTTTGTTATAATTTTTTCAAGTTCGATTCGTATTTCATCACCGCCGTTCAATCATGCAACGGTGAATAAATATTTTTTAATGAGGACGTAAATTTCTTTTCAATTCGTCGGTGACAACTTGAATTCATCCCGCTAGACGAATATTTTATATTAATTAGTCAATGGACGATTGATAGGAACACAGCTTTTTTTTTTTTAATGATTGCAGTGTTAATGAAGAGTCAAGTAACAACAAAATACTACAGATTCCTAACGAAGTCTGGAGGATGGGTATGGATGCAATCGTACGTGACAATAGTAAACAATTCCCGAAGTTCAAGACCACAATGTATAGTATCAGTGAACTACGTACTATCGGATAAAGAGGCAGCGCACTTGGTTCTCAATTCGGAGCAGAAGGCCTCAACAATACCAGGAAATCAGCCATCAGCTCCATTATCATCAAATTGTGGTATCTCCCGAGACATGGGAGTTGATGAATCCCAATGCAGTCCAAGTCCGCCATATCTCCAACGTGCCAGTGAACCCCAAGTAGTTGATTTTGCTGATACATCATACTCAAACACCGGTGAATACATGCCAGCACCAGCCCACATGAATCACTACCAGGCTAATTACCCAACAGCCCAGAACACAGCACACCAGGGCTCTGGTCCAGGAGGTGGGCCAAATATCCACGAGGACACAGCAAATTATTACCCATTAGAGCTTTTTTATCAATACGCTGCAATGACACAAGACGGTCACGGTCAGCCTCACCTGTTGCACCACAACAATCAGAATCTCCAACAATCCCAGTCTCAACAGCACCCAAACAGCCCCCAACATCATCACCATCAGAAAAAACCCCCGTACTCATCTCCATCGAGTTCTTGTGGTAGTTACGATGTCCCTGAGAGCTGTGCACATTTATCAAGTCCTCTGGCTAATACCGGGCCGTATCATCCAAATGTTCCCCACAATAATCACCTTCATCATTGCCATCCAATGCTGGATGATCACTCATCACCACCTGAGCCCTACAATGACTCGACCGTCGGTTACGTTCATCCAAGCTGTGCATTCAATGACAACAACAACTCGTGCTTCGTTGGTAATGGAACAAATTCATCAATGCAAAACCATCATCCTCACAATCCCCATAATCCCCACAATCCACATCAGACGTACTCACCGACAGCGGGAACGAGTCATCATCATCACGAGCACATACAGCACGTGGATGGTCCAATTTACACGAGTGTCATCGTTGAATCTCAGCAGTACAGCTCAAGTAGTGTTCCAAGTATACATCAGAGTGTTCATGGCCATCAGCAAGGTGTTATTAAAGGGGATTCACCTGGTGATGCTGCCACAACTGTTACGACAGCCCCAGGCAATTCTCCAACGACCAACAATACAACTTTTACCCCAACAACCCTCACCACTTCTGTAACAACTTCAAAATCTGAGCCTGTGTCACCAGTTTCAAATGGCAGCAAGTGTGATACACCCATGAATCTCATTGGTAAAACACCAATCTGTCAGGATAGAAATGATTTCTCAATGTACACCAAGTGCGATGATAAGAGTGTTCTTGATCGTCAGGGTATCACCAAGTATTCATTCATCGCTGGATTCTCGGGGACGTAATCCATTTATTCATTTTATTGTAATTGTCATTAGAGTTTTTATTATAGAAAGGAGAATGTAAGTTAGGAATGACTATTTCTCGCGCTGGCCGTGGGTGCTAGACATCCGACGTTATGATCACGTCACTAATTTTTATTTGGTAATATTGGTTGGAGATAAATTATGCTGTACATATGGAATTCGGCTGTATTTATGTAATTAAGTATAATATATTATTTTTTTTTATTTATTTAAGCTTATTTGTGAGTATGATTGAATCCTTGAATTGTGGTTTTCTCTTGATTTCGAATTATAAACCCCCAAGACTGACGGATCAACGAGTTTAATGACCAAAGAGCCATCGATTCGCAATTTTTCATCACAGGGTCCAAAAAAAAATAATAGAAAATCAACATTTATCTGTTTTTCATTAAAAAACGATATTTAACTGAACAATTTTCTCTGTACGTAAATAGAAATTAATCTCATTTATAGATGAAAATAAAACAACATTTGCATGAGTTCAATACAATAAATCATCTACACTCTATATCCACAATTGCGTAAATCAATGAATACTTAGGTGATAGATACATGTAAATAATGTAATGATGTATTATTTAAATGGAAAATACACGATATATTTTTGTTCGAAATCATTAACACGTGTTATCGTCAAAAAATTTTCATGGCAGAGGGGAAAACAATGACTGGAGTAATTGCTCTGTATGTGAATGTCGTATTCTGTGACTCGGGAGTTGTTAGGATTGAATAGCGCCTGGAGAAAGAAATAAAAAGTCTAGGACATTCGTTTCAAACCAGCATGGGGTTTGTTTGACACTGGTTCCAGGCACGTGGCATCATCGCCCAATTGTTCATTCAACTATCCAGCATCCGAAGGCCCGTCTCATTTTCAAACCGGACAAACGTTTTTTTTTTTCTTCATCTCCGAACCAATGAAACCAATGATGGCTGCCAAGTCACTGGTAATCATCCCTATTAAATTCTACTACGGAGGGCTTTCTCTGTAATTGGTAGGAAAATAAATGCCACGAATTGTCACCCCCGAGGGCTTTTTATGCGCCCATGTGAATTCATGTGAGCCGATGGACACGCGTTTCCCTCGTTAACTTCTTATATTCAATCTCAGGGGGTGTATTTTCTTTGTTTACTTGTCCCAGATATCTATTATTTCACGATATAAAGGAATATTTATTTTTAATTCCCATACCAACACTGCGACATGGAATACGACTGGAAATTCTTGCTCTTCCGTGATTTTTTTAAATAAACAAATATCTGGAAGAAAGTGTTATTATTTTTTTTTTTTGCAATTCAGCAATGGATTCTCAACTCCGTGGATCCCCTCTGAGTAAAAATCTCATCCTAGTTATGACTACTAATCCAGCAAAAATCCCCGAACATAACATGGGGAACCCCCCGGGTAAACACTTGACAGGTTGCGTGCACTGTGAAAGCACTGCAGACAGGAAAGGGGCATTTTCTTCAAGGACTTAACACCCATTCTCAGGATTATCATAATTTTTATTGATATTGAACAATTCAATTACGAAAAAAGGAGCAGAGTAAAATAAACCAAACAGCATTGATTGTCTCCAATAAAAAAATACAAACCTACAGAAATTTATTGACGTACTTCCGGGTGGTGGGTGAAGAAAAAAAAAAAACAATTGGTGTAAAATATACACGTATATAAAATGTTGTATACTTGATGTTGTATATGGAGGTATATAAAGCGGTGTGCGCAATCAGAGGGTGGAGTGAGGTCGACTGAGGGGTTTAGGAGGGTGTGGGAGGGGCTAGGGGGATGAGGAATAGAATGCTTTAGGCGTCACCAAGGTTACGGCACGTAACACCACCCACGACTGTCTTGCCCAATGTGTTTGCTCAATGATTTTATACCAATTATAGACTATCCCAAGCTCTTGCCTTGGCTGGTGCACAACTGGGTGCAGGCTCTCTTCACCCACCATTAAACCCGTCGCGTGTTACCCCCGTTGTTTCACGTTACATCGTGCCACTGCAACAACCCTCCAACCCCTCGCACTTATCATTATTTCTTTTTATAAATGGTATACATTCGTACAATAAATTTTTCATACCTATCTGTCGCTGATAATGTTAATAATCATAATAATAAATTATTGAATATTTAGTGGTTGTTGAAATGTCGCAAATTATTCGGAATTGATATTTCGGATGGAGCAATCAAAACAGTTTTTTATCGGTTTAATATAATGATATATTTTTATATGGCATTTAGGATTTATATAAAATATATTTTCATTCTTTTATAAATTATGAACAATAAATTACAATAAAGGATAGACATTCGTTTTTTTTTGGGATGAAGGTATAATATGGCGGGCGAAGAATAATTTGGAATTTTTGGACCACTTGAACAGCCATTGAAATTTATTAGGAATTTAAATATTCTTGATTTAAGAATGAATTAGATTCGAAGTCTACTTAGATTTCATGATTCAAGCGTTGAATACTAGATCGAATATTCATTCGTTGACGGGTTCTTTATGTGTGTGACACATGAGTAGATTCTTTAGATCTGATGCATAAAAAATGGATGATATACTTCAAATTCTTTGGACCTTCCCAAAACCTTTGGTCTTCTTTTATAAATTATGAGACGATAACTACAAGGACTCCGTACCACATTGAATTTTCTGACGTTTTGGGATAACATGAAACGTGACTAATAAAGAAACGATAAAATTTTTTCCTCCACGTCCTAATGACATTCACATAGATGAATCATTAACATGATTATGACGGTAAATATCTCGAAAGTGAAATTTTCAGAACTCAAATTTTCTCGACTTATTTTATAGCGACGAATATATATTTTAATTTATAAATTACGACGTACGATTTTTGTAAACAATATTAACAGCGGGGAATGTGTAAAATAATTCAGAATTTCGATCGAGCCTCCTGATAATTCCCATAATCATTCAACTTGGCGCTGAATGGTTGAGAAGGTACTAAATCACTTCCATTGTACATGGAGTATCCACGCCTTGACAGTTCTTCACCTGGCACAATCGTCGGATTTGAATAACAAAAATCTGCCATCATGTTCCTCTGACTATGCAAGCGATTCGATCTGATGAAAATATATTTTGATTTAAAAGCGATTAAAATCCCCAATCAAACGGGTGCTTATCGATATTATTCATTCTATCACTCACCGATCATGTGTGAGTCGATTGAGTTTGACAAGGATAACACCGACGAGAATCAAAAGAATGACAATACTACCACCACCAATTCCCCAGGTGATATAAAACCTCAGCCATATATCCTCAATGGTATCCTAAATATGATTAAAACAATGATAAAACATTTTTCCCTTAAAAACCAAACACCATCACTCACCATATCAATTTTTTATAATTTACTGAATCTCTTCACCACAAAAATTAACAATTCTCTTCACGACTTTGTCGTTCATGTGCGGTAGAATGAAAATTGTCAACTGTATTCCACCATTACTCTCTCGCTTCAGATCACCGAGAAATTCCTATCAGCCTTGTTATCATTTTCAGTGTATAAGATAGCCTTAGATACGTACACATCATGGCTGTACTTAATACCTGATTTCATATCGCATTCTTTTTTTTTAAAATCACATACTAATCATCAATCAACAGAGTTTAATAATCCCACGAAAATTACTCATTCGTTGTCTTCTGCAGTCACGTATGACGATCATGCGACTAAATTCCGTGATAATTTTCTTCCTCAAGTTGAGAATCTTCCAACTGTGTACACAATGCTAATTGACCTCGATAAAATTCCTTCCTCCTTTCCCCCCTCTCTTTTTCACTTAAGACAATCGCTTTGTAATAGCTCATTATCGGTTTTATACAGAGTCAACGGTTTCTCTCTGGTAAAGAGTGTAATCAGGGATTTTTCTCGTGAATATTTTGTGGGTCATGAGGTAATAAAAAATATAAGGCAGGATTATTATTGCAATGTTATAGACGTAGTAAGGAATTGGTCTGGTTGAGCCAAAAGGAGCGAACCACAGCCCCCGTCTCGTTGCATCTCTGATATGATGACTCAAGAAGCTCATTAAAATAATCCAACTGTAGTGCTCCATTTTTTCATTAGTCGAAACTTTCGATGTCAACAGCATTAAAGTCCAAAGTAGTATTGGAACTGTTGTCGAGTGTAAAAACGCTCGTTTGCTCAATCGAGTTGCGTCCTGAATAAAATTTTCATTTCATAACTCACAAAAGGAAATATTCTAATTCCATGAATTCAAATAAACGTTCTTTTGATTTATTGAATAGAGAATTTCATGTGTTCACTACTCACAGATAACTTCCAGCTCTTTGCTTGGATAAAATGATCTACATCGATGAGCGATGACATCAATGCACATGAAGTAATTTCTAGCAAATTCCTCATTACTGAGTGATTCAGTAAAAGAGTTACGATAATCCATGACAGACCGGCAATTAATGCATGTGTCACATTGTCGACAATTGCTCGAATTACTGCATGTGTTAGGTTGTCACTCAATCTGTCTCCAATTAAACAAGTTAAACCTAACAATATTGTAAAAATAATCTTGATTATTGGGTTTTTGTTGAACATGTTTTTTGTGGGTACACGTCAGTGTCAAATCACGAGACATAACCTAGACTGATAACAATAACAAACCAATGGATAAAATGAATTCCTCGATTACCAATACGAGGTGGGAGTTCTCTGGTACTAACGCGTTGAAGAGGTTCCGGTTTTAATTTGATTAATAATTTTGAATCATTCAGGAATAATTGAGGAGTGAAAAATTATAATTTAGGAATTAACCCCGGATTCGATGCGCCATCTTCTTCAGGGGGTGACATCACGTTCCTCGAGTTCTCCAAGCCCCCATTCATAACCTCTGTGTTAGTTTACTCCTTTTAAGACTTCGTAGATCTCTCAGCTATTCATCACTCAGTCAGCCCCAAGTGTCTCCAATTTTCCCAAATATTGTTGTAAGCACATTCTCGATTTTGAAGTGAATATGGCTATTCAGTGAATAATTTAATTGAGAAATCAGTGAGTTGATCAGTTAATTGAAAGTTATCACAATGACAACACCAGCAATAAGTGGTCAGAACCTGCTTCGTCCCACGGGGCTGCAGTGCAAGGATCTCCATGAGTACTTGAAATCTGGGCCTCCAGAGGTGTTGGAAAAATTGTATCACAATCCACCGATATGTCTGGCGGTTTTTCGTGAACTTCCAGTCATTGCCCGACACTATGTCATGCGTCTTCTATTCGTTGAGCAGCCGGTCCCCCAAGCTGTCATCGCATCCTGGTGCTCAAAGCTACATTCTGAAGAGCATCAGAGAGTTGTCCAGGTTCTCAATGAGTTGAATATTTGGAAAGAGGCATCTATACCTGGGGGCCTGCCTGGCTGGATCCTCAATGCTACTTTCAAGAAAAATTTGAAGATCGTATTACTCGGGGGTGGTAAACCCTGGACAATGTCCAATCAGTTGGAAACTGATAGCAAACCTAGAGACATTGCTTTTCTCGATTCGTATGCCTTGGAGAGATGGGAGTGTGTGCTGCATTACATGGTGGGATCCCAGCAGCAAGAGGGTAAAGCTTTTAATTGTCGTGGGTATTACGAGTTTCTCGTTATTGATCTCTTATTGTCATTTTTTGGGCCTTAGGTATTTCAGCGGATGCTGTCAGGATACTGCTCCATGCAGGCCTCATGAAACGTGATGAAGAAGATGGTAGTCCTGTTATTACACAGGCAGGATTTCAGTTTCTCCTTCTGGACACAGCATCACAAGTAATTGATCAAATTAGTAATTAATCTTTCATGACATGGCTCACATGACAATTTCAGATAAAAGAGCTGAAATAATATCGATGAATATAAAGAATCTTGTGTGATGTTGCACAGGTATGGTACTTCATACTCCAGTACTTAGATACCATTCAAGCCAGAAGTCTCGATCTCGTCGAATGCCTCACTTTTCTATTCCAATTAAATTTTTCAACACTTGGCAAGGATTATAGTACGGAGGGAATGTCAGAAGGATTGTTAACATTTCTGCAGCACTTGAGAGAATTTGGTCTTGTGTATCAACGAAAACGCAAGGCTGGCAGGTTTGAAAAAATATTTAACAGTAAATTGCTCTCAAAATAATCCATTATGAATAACATTTACATTTTTTTTTAGATTCTATCCAACGAGATTGGCGTTGAATATTGCAACGGGAAAGAATAAACCACTCGTGAGGGATATCGAGAAAGAGGGCTATATTGTAGTAGAAACAAATTACAGAGTCTACGCGTACACAAATTCGAACCTCCAAGTGGCTTTACTCGGTCTCTTCTGTGAAATGCTCTACAGGTAAACATCAGCGAACTTTAATTCTCTCACGCACACGTCATACAAAGAAAAATAATAGTATTTATTCCTCAGATTTCCGAATCTAGTTGTATCCATATTAACCAGAGACTCAGTGCGACAAGCATTGAAGAGTGGAATAACTGCAGCACAAATAGTCGGGTAATTGCCACTCGATTAAAAAATCATTCTCCATACATGATTAAAAAAATCCATTGATTTACTAAATTACTTCTAATAGTTATTTGCAGCAGCATGCTCACAGTAAAATGATTGAGACAGGTCCCCCAACACTGCCCCCAACAATCGTAGATCAGATAAAACTCTGGGAAAATGAGAGAAATCGTTTCTCCTTCAGTGAAGGCGTTTTGTATAGTCAGTTCCTGTCAGAAACTGACTTTGTCGTACTTCGAGATTATGCACTATCTATTGGGGTTCTCATCTGGCAGAGTGATAGGTAAAATTATCGATAATTGCAATTGAGCGTAAATAATTATGGACAATTATTTGTTTTGCAGAAAACGAACTATGGTTGTTACCAAAGTCGGTCACGATGATGTCAAGAAATTCTGGAAACGTTACTCAAAAGGCTCAAACTGACAGAATTGGTCCAAATGTATAGAATAAAAGTATGAATAAATTATTTTTTAAATGATTCATGCTGTTTCATAATGGGAAAATTCACTCTCGTGTCAGCGTTGTGGGGCTGCTTTTGGTTTTGGCATTTTTGCGAGTAAACTTTGGATCTCCTTCTTCTCGTCGTACGTTTTCCACAGCTCATAGAGATTTATTATATGTCGTGCGATCTCCTGGATTTTTTCCATATCCGCATTCAACTCGGCGAACCATGACTTCAGATCTTTTTGAAGTATTACACATGCAATTTGCAGGCACCCTGATATTAAAAAAAATTATGATCCGCCTATGAATTGATTAAATGATTAAATATTTGAATGATTAAATATTTATCATTACCTATGGCTATTTGATATGGAGGATAGAGCAGACAGACATCTGTCCTTAAACTATCATTGATTATTCTCCACGCAAGCGTTAATAATTGATCGTCAGGCCCAACATCCTGGATCAAAGTCAGGAGTGGTCTATATGGTTGATAAACAATGAGGCAGCAATCGAGATGCTCTAGAAGGTAAAATTCGCACTCCAAAATATGATTCGTGCGATACGGAAAATCTTGAGTGTAAGCATAATTGAATTTATTCTTAACTGAAATCAGGTGAAATAAATTGATATAATACATTGAATAATTGTCATGACCAGACGAGTTATTAGATTTATATTTGATAAAACTCACCTACAGTTTGACAGGTGGTAATTAGACGAGTATTGGAAATGACTCCAAACTCTTCAACTTTAGATGCCAGAAATACAGAAGTCGGAGCTAGTAGCAATGGATCAATGCATTTTAAACTATTGCGAGCATAGAAACGTTTGAAATAAACAGTTGCTGTCGCTATCACCTGTTGCCTCAATTTCAACTGCTCACCTAGTACTTGGATCACTGAAAAAAATATCGTATGGAACTCATCCAGCCTTATTGATTAAAATCCCATGATGTACTCACAATTTGCAAAAAATATGAACAACTTCTGATATTCTTCTTCGGTGAGGATTGAGATGTCGTGTTGACGTTCTCTAACCAAGTCTTGCTTATCCAGTAGCCACTGCTGGCTGTCAAATTTTAATATCAAAGTTTTCAGTACAATTATATTATATTAAACAATTTGTTTTTTGAAATCCATGGATTATGTGGGGGAAATAAATAATTCTTACTGATGAGAGCTCTGCCAAAAATTCCCAGCCATTCTCTGGAGCTAGAAATCACCTGATGAGGTTACGATTTTTCCATGGACCATGCACAATTATCATTTGAATCTTTCTCCCGAATTTATGGCTATTGGAGAAGTTGTACAATTTTTTTGACTGTTAGATATAAAAGTATTTTCATTCCCATCGATTTGTTTTCAATGCGTAATCGTAATGTTGCTAGTCTGTTATTGAAATTGAGTGGGAAAAAAATTGTAGAGTGAAATTCCCAAAGAGGATTGACTAGAGTCTCAATTCTGGGGGTTGGAGTGACCCCAGCGGCATCGTAGTACTGCACCCTAAGAGAGGGAGGGCGCAACACGCAATGCTTTTTTTTTATTTGTTTAACCGACAATTATCAATTACAAAAAGTGAAAAAAATATCGTCATGACTTCTCTCATCTTTTTTTTTTTAATTGGACAAATTGGAAGAATCCCATTTTTTCCAAGACATTTTTCCAAAAATAACACCTGCCAATCGCAAATTAAATCCTATTGCATCGAAATTAAAATCATAAAAAAAAAATGTTTTCAATCCAAAAAAGTTAAAATTCAAAAAATGGAATTGTCAAAATTGTCGAATTCCACAAAGGAAATATTGAAAAATAATGAATTACCAATTAACAATAACCCATATAAAAAAAATGTGCAATCAATAAAACATCAATACCGTAAACAGTGACCGTAAACAATAAGGTAGAACATTGGATAATGAAAAATGTAAAAAGTTGGATGGATAGACGTATGGAAGTGTCACTGGGCAAGCGTAGAATGCCTTAGAATCCAATTGGTATGTACCCTGTTATAGGCGCTATAACCCAACCGAAGTGGTGGTAGAAAAGAAGGAAGATCCATTGGAGAGATGGATATAGAGAGAAAGGATTGGTGAGTACTGGTGAGTACTGGTGAACGATAAGGAGGACAGAGGGGAAAAGAGATGGATGGATATAGAGTGAATGCGGTGGGAAAATTGAGTTGGAGTATAGGCCGAGGAAAGCAAGGAGCCAAGAGCAGCGTGAGCGCCTAGAGGGAGGAGCAGCAGCCAAAGCGCTGTGCTTCCTGTTGTTGGTGTGTTAGCCTAAAAAAAAAAAATACATTATAAAATACCTTGAAATACTGTACGGTTGTTACCAACGACCGAATGTCTCCTCAATGCGACGAAAATGGTGAAGTGTGGAGTAAAGTGGGCATTGAGTAAGGCCTTGGACATCTCAAATCATGACAGAGGCCTCAGACGAGTAAGTCAATCATTCATTACAGCATTTGTTTCATTTTTTACTCTTTCCCTCGTTCATTCCCTCAAAATTTCAAGTCAATCATTGGATGAGAAGCTCATATTTTAATTACTCATCAGTTTAAATTCTTAATTCGTCTCCTCAATCATAACTGGAGTTATAGTTCAGTTATTTTAGTTTGGGTGGTTGGAGTCGGAATGGAATTGGAGTTGTGTCGGTGTTATTTTGAATTATTATTATTTTTTCTTCACGTCTCAGCCTTGAACATCATCGTCAAACGGCAAACAGGGGTAACATTACCGATCGTTCTCTCTCTCCATCAACGGGTATACACCCACATCTACACGGATAGACACACACATTTGACGATTGTCGAGTCTCTATGTTAAATGTGTCACACACATTGTTGGGGCATTCATGAAGAGAAGTCATGCGCGGGTGTTAGTGCGTGTATGCACGTTGTCCGTTCATTCATCGAATCGATGTCAATGCGTACGCCTGTTTCCATTGTATTTCTGTCAATCATTATTCTCTCAAATATTTTATCATTAGTTTAATCATTGAGGTGTGATTAAATGCGGGGTCAATTTGAGGCGTGTATTATCATTAACACGATGCATTCATGTGTCGATCCGCGAGAATTCTTTGCGTTGTACGCCAACTGACCTGAGTGATCTAATGGAGTGTGCCAGTCCAGGGTATGGGCGTATATCAGCCTTCATTATTATTGAATTTTATCATTATTATGAGCGTACTATATACCGTCTCGGTAGTGGTTAACCACACTGGTTTATTGATTGCTCGTTTATCATTATTTTACAGTGGTAATTATCTGGTGAGGGTCCGGGCCCAGGTGATGACGAGGGATGATAGCTCTGGTGGATGGGTACCACTCAGTGGCGGTGGATTGGCCAATGTATCTGTCAGACGTAGGGCTGCATCAGGTGGAAGTTGTAGTACTGCTACTGGGGCCAGTAGTACCACATCCAGCACAAATCCAACTGCTGGATCATCACCGAGTAATAATCCAGCACCAGTTGCCATTAGCCAAAGCCATGGAACGTTGAGCACATCACCTCCTAGTACAGCTAAAAGAAGACACGAGTATCTTATTTATGGGAAACGAATTACTGATCAATCGGTATGAAGACAATTCAATAGGCAATCGTAAAAAAAAAATTACACAATCTTGGGGAGATGGCAAAATTATTCAATTCGAGGGATCCATTTTTTTTTTCACTTGCAGGTCGTTCTCAGCTGTACGATAAAAAAAGATTTTCAGTACAACAAAGTTATGCCGACATTTCATCATTGGCGCACTGGAGAAAAAAAATTTGGACTCACCTTCCAAACAGCCGCTGATGCAAGGGCTTTTGACAAAGGTGTACGAACAGCAGTTGAAGAACTTCTGGAAGGTGATATAAAAATGAGATTATTTTTCATTCATCAAGACATGATTTTATTTGTCGATCTCTATCCGTATTTCAAACAATTTTTTTCCTTCCTTATAAATCTGCTGCGTTTTGGATTAATCATTGCGGTGAGATTCATTATATTAACCTAATTGTTGTCATGTTGAGAATAACTAATAGACTCGATAAAGGAAAAAATAAAAGAGTACAGGGTAATAATTGGATTTTGTTGCTCTTCAGGTCTCGCCAATGCTACATTAAATGGTGGACATCCAGACGTTGGTGATGAGAGTGTATTCATGACTGTTAATTTACCAGTGGAGCCCCCAGATCCACGTCAATCGTCAGATCAAGGTCGTGGAATAGTTCGTGTACCGAATTATCATTCCCAGTGTAGCGACATAGCAGATGCCCACAAATCAATTCATTACATCGGTAGTGAGCCATCAAGCAAGGTTGTACCGCCACACCATCATCCACTGGAGTCAAGTGGTGATGTGGGTGTTGACAATTGTCCTTATGTGCAGTTGACGAGTCTCAATCATGATTACCTGTATCCAGTGATCGATGATCACAAAGGCAACAATTCAACAGAGCGTCGTACATCGAGTGATTCACTCAAGAAGCCCGACATTATAATATCACAGCCGAGTAAAAATTCCGACAAATTGCGTGGCAATTGTCGATTACGATGTAAACATTGTCAACAGACGTATGGAGAGCATGATAATCCACGTGGTGCATGTGAGTACGCACCAGATTTGATAAGCAAAGGCATTGCCACGGTATCGTGTCTCTTGTGCGCAAAGTGCATGTTGTATCACTGTATGAGTGATGCTGAGGGTGAAAATTCACAAAATCTTGAGCACAATCCGTGTACCTGCAGTACTGAGGATGGATGTGGTAGACGATGGTTTGGCTTGGCACTTTTGTCTCTCATAGTTCCGTGTTTATGGTTATATCCGCCATTGAGAGCAATTCACTGGTGTGGTATGGCCTGTGGCATATGCGGTGGACGTCATCATCCGATGGAATAACTGGAGGAACCCTTTGATATCTCTGGGCCGTTCTCGATTGAGCCGCACTATATGGCAGCGATGCCTAGTGGGGCTGTGGCTAATGTTTATGAATGCCACGATCTAAGTATGGGCCGGTGTCAGAGATACCAAAGGGGCAGACAGTTACCAGTTCATGCGCTTATTCATCAACGTCACCTGTAATCAGCGTTATATCCAGGGTAAACGGTTTATTATTTTCATTGGTTCACGCAATTTATTCATCTCTTTTGCTCATTTTTTATTACTTAATTATCTACATTTTTTCACACATTTATTGGGGGAGAGTTCAATCAGTCAGGGCCGTGCAGAATTTAACATATTTATGCTTATGTTCGTGCCTTTCTCATTTGGTTGGAAGGCAAATTATCACACGCGGGTGGCTTCGAGTCGAATCAGCAAGGCCAATTCAATGTTAGATAATTAAGTTGTCCAGAATGAATGTCATTGGTGGCTCGACACTCGCACCGACCTTGACTCAACTTTTGCCAAATTTAAAATAGTTGGGCTTTTGGTCATTGATAACAGCAAACGAATATCTCCGTGGAGAGTACCTCTAATTAGGGGTGACGGTTTCCATTATAACGTTCACTTCCTTGTTGTATCATTTTTCTTTTTCTTTTCCTGACAATCAACCCCATGTTATTCTATGGATCATCATCTTTCAATTTCTTTTATATTTTTTTCATCTTGTGGATACATAGTGGACGTCTGTTATGTATGTTTCAAAATTTATGTGTAGATGAACAAGCAAGATAAGTCAGAATAACTGTTTTCCCATTACAACTTAGATCATTGTCGGATGTGTGGACGTTAAAGAATATATATTTTCCTTGATTGTTGAAAAAAATCACCAAGAGCAGCAGAGCAGTTTTATTCCCCGCTCTATGTTTCCAGTATTCTCGATAATTCCCTCGAGCTTTTGGTGTAATTCACGTGCATGACAACCCAGAGATACGAATTATTGGAGGACTGGAGCAATAATTCCTGCTCCAGTCAATCCAGTAATGATTTCTCGATAAATTTGTCTTTTGTTGTTTTGATGTATATAAGACACGAAGACAAAGAATTAAAAATAGTCCAAGGGGACAAATAGAACAAGTAAGAAGAAACTTAGAATGAGTCATTAAATTCATTGTTTACTTCCTGTGGATGATTTTTCCATTTCTTCCATTAATTTTTTAACGTTTGTAATTGCAAGTGGAAACACGATTGAGCTTTAATATCGCCCAACACTGATTAAAATCCAGAAAATATAGAGAAAATCTGATCATAAGAAACAGAGACGATATTACGGAAGAATAAACCTGATCGTTAATTCTAAAAGTGTTTAGCGAGGATATTTTTACGTTTATTGATTTAATCACTAGGTGAGAATAAATAAAAGGCGATGGAAAAATTCCAGGGTAATTGTCGTAGATGAAAAATATAATCCATGCATTGAATATATAAAATCAACGATGAACCACATTCGATTGAAATTGACAAAAATAAAAGAGATACATATTTATTTAATTGGTTGAACGACGGAACAAGTTATACTGACATTTATCCTAGCACTAACGTATACAAGGAGAGTAAAGAAAATTAACGATTGCGAGAGTAAGTGCTGAAGCTTTTTTAGATTAAAAGGAAAAATAATAATTAAAAAAAAAAAAGAATGTTAGTGTATTCGATTTTATATTGACTTTTTTACAGTTTTGTATATTCAAAAAGTGCCAGTGTATTCCTGAAGGCTCAGAGGAGTGCACTTTGACACTTTTTGCTTTAGGATAACACGTGTAGTGGTAAAAAAAAAAACGTTACTTTGTACACTCGTATGCGCACCCCCATGCACAATCAATAATACAACTTTAGTTGATTTGTCGAGGATAAAAAATATATATATATAAATTCAATGATTTTCTGTGGAAGGAATTAGATACATTGACAAGAGAGAGAAAAATGAAAATATTCAAGAGATGAAAACAATACCAAGATTAATTAATAAGTGAAAAATGTGGGAAATAGTCGAAACATTAAGCCAATGGGATATAGCATGCATCCAGGGTAATTATTTTTTCATCAGTCATTAATCCATGAATTTGACACCCAGCCATATATTTTCTTTTTTATTAATTATATAATCTGCTAAGCGTTAATGTTTGATTTACCATGCAGAGGCAAGGTGAATAGAATTACGAGAAAAGCGTAACACGGAAATGAGATATTTTTGTGATTGACACACACCAACTGAATGAATTTAATTGCTCGATTCGAAGATACGATGAGACACTGATATCGTTATAAGATCACTTAAGAAATTACATTTTTCTTGATTATGTATATATAATGTATTATTTTACTGCCATAACTAACGGTTGGTTTAATCTTTAGAATATCACGTTTTCCTATGTCCAGTTTCACATTTGTACTAATTTTGAGTATTGAATCGTGAAATATATTGTATTTTCTCAATTGTAGACAATGGCGACTAGGGAATGAAATGAGAGTGAAAAGGAGAGAGAAACTCATGTTTTAATTTGTGAATAAGTACAAAAGCTATTTTCCCAATAAGTCCATTTGTGATGACTACCAAATGTGGATACCTGTTTAATCGTCTTGAGTATTCCTCGTGGATTCCAATGTCAATCCCAGATGATAGAGATTTAAAAAGAAGCGACAAAAATAATAAGGTAAAAGAATGAATAATTAAATCACTAAATAATTAAATTAACGAAATGTCTAAAGATAATGATAATTGTTAAGTGAGGAGCACCGGATGAATGTGCAAATGTGATTTGAGCGAATGGGTTTTCTTCCTACTAATTTAAATTGCTTCCTATAAAATTTATGAATGATCATTTAACCATGCGACGAATGAAAATAATAAAAGATAGTGTTTAATAATAAATACATGAATGTGTCTATAATTAGCATACCAATTCACGTTAAATATATTTACTATTACGGCTGGAATGATTGTGAATAAAAGATGATGATAATGATAAAACAAATGCTGCTATTGCCCATGCAGAAAAGTTAATGTAAAAATTTACAATGAACAAAGCGAAGTTGATAGAAAAATGGTATTCAAGGGGGAATACATATTAATTGCAAACATTATCGTCGAGTTTAAAATCTGCCACTGACGAATTAACAATAAAAAATGATAAACGTTGAAAAATAATAATGATTGAATGATTAAAGATTAAATATAACTTTTAAACGTGGCAGTGCTGCAGTGTCATGACCTTTCTTGGTGGAGCCAAGCTTTCAGGTTACTCTATCTTTTAACGTTGATTGCTGCAAGCCCATTGAATGAAATTTCAATAATAAAAAAGAGATAAACAAATTCATTATATCATAAATGTTTAAATCTTGTATTATTGTAATTAAAACAAATGAAAAATGCGAAAAATATGTACCATAATCCCAATGTACGAAAAATAAATATATTGTATCATCAAGGATTCTTCAATAATGGCTAATTTTATTAATTCTTAATTATTTATTACAATTATACCCTAGAGTCGGGGAAAACAGGCCCTTTAGTCTTTCGTGAAATATTAATGCCTTATTCAGCGTTCAATAAAAATTTGCGCATTTTTTTTTCAGAGAAAAAAAATTCTCCGCTTGACGAATCACAATTAAACTTAATCCATTAATTAGTCTCGTGTTTCAAGATGTTTCAACAGAAATAAATACGTAAATAAAAGGGGAGGTTTCAACCCACTTCACTCCAAATATTTTTTTTTCAGCTGTACAGGTTTTCAAGGAAATTTACAGGGTGGATTTTAGTGAGGCGTCGGTTTGTGTCCGTCGACGTAGAAATTTCTCGTTGCTTTTGGCAACTCCAGTTCAATTCCATCTAACTCTTTCACCAGAGTTATTTGACAACCTACAAAGAGTCCCCAAATAAAATTTTCAGGCAGAGATAAAGATTATCATAATTGTACCTAATCTTGAGTTCTCCCTCAGGAATGGGGCCAGATCCAGCAGATCTTCTTCCTGATCCGTTGCAATTGGAAGTTTATCAACATAATCATGATGCACATAAACGTGACAGGTCGTACATGCCAAGGATGCCTCACATGCTCCTTCCATGGCGATTCCATGCCTGTGGGCTAGGTATAACGCATTATCACCGATTTTTCCGCGTACACGTATATTTTTCCCGTCTTTATCAATGAAGATCACATTGACCCTGAAAAAAAAATGTATCTACTCCACAAATTCTCGCACTTCCGTGAGAGGAAACCAAAACTGAACTACTCGATTGAGATTAATACATACACCTCTTCTTCTGATTTTGGATCCTGAAGTTCATATTCTCCATGTAGAAGACCTTGAGAAAAAAAATTATAATAATTCATGAAGTAATCACCGGTGGATATTCAAAAAATCCCGCCTTTCACAGGTCACAATACGAAATTAGCGGAGCCCTCAAACTGTTGACTACACGCATTTTTACATTACTTACATTTCGCAGTCTGGAATCGACGAATTGTTTGTTTTCTCAAATTATCCATTCCGATGCACTCCAATCTGTAGGCATGTGTCATTATTAAATGTCGCAAAAGGTTCGTCATTGTTTTTAATTATTTGAGAAATCCAGGCAGAACATAAAGGTTAAACTACCACAAGCTCATTTGAGAAAGAGCACCAAAGAGCATTGACTGAAGTAGAGGCTCAGTTCTGGGGGTTTGAGTGATCCCAGCTGCATCGTAGTACTGCACCCCGAGAGAGGGAGGGCGCCAGACGCAATGGGGGTGTCGTCCCGTCAGCCGACTCGGTAACTGTCTCAGTCCTGCTGTCAGAGTGACCAGTCAACTGGGTGAATTTTATTTTGTGTTACGAAATTGGTATTCACTGAAATTGAAAAATGAAAAATTTTCAAAAAAGTATCAGGGGAGCATGAAAACCAAGGAGGTATTCACTGAAATTTGAAAATTCGAAATTTTTTAAAAAATATCAGAAGAGCATGAAAATCGAGGAGGTATTCACTGAAATTCGAAAATTCGAAATTTTTTAAAAAGTATCAGGAGAGCATGAAAATCGAGGAGGTATTCACTGAAATTCGAAAATTCGAAATTTTTTAAAAAATATCAGGAGAGCATGAAAATCGAGAAGGTATTCACCGAAATTTGAAAATTCAAAATTTTCAAAAAAATATCAGGGGCGCATGGAAGTCGAGAAAGCATTCACTGAAATGTAAAAATTTTAAATTTTCAAAAAAGTATCAGGGGAGCATTAAAATCGAGAAGGTATTCACTGAAATGTAAAAATTTAAAAATTTCAGAAAATAAAATTCACCCAGTCGACTGGTCCCTCTGACAGCGGGACTGCTACTGAGGCAGTTACCGAGTCGACTGACGGACAGACACCCCACCATTGCGTGCGGTCCCCACTTTCTCTTGGGGTGAGGTACGCCCCCAGAACTGAGCCACTCAGTGGGGGTTTGAGCGACCCCACCAGCATTGCACCCCACCTCACCCCAAGAGAAAGAGGGGGTCGCACCCAGTAGTGGGGCATCAGCCGACCCGGTACCTGCCTCAGTAGCAGTCTCGCTGTCAGAGGGACCACTTAATACGGTGAATATTATTTTCTGCGTTACGAAATTGGTATTCAGTGCCTGTGGCGCCCTCCCTCTCTTGGGGTGGAGTACTACGATGCCGCAGGAGTCACTCCAACCCCCAGAACTGAGCATCTACTTTAGTCAATGCTCTTTGAAGAGCACTGAGAATTTACACTGGCGAAAACACCCGAACACCGACCGACAACACTCGGAGGAGATTGGCGCGGGTCTCTTCAGTATCACAGTGTTCGAGACACGATAAAGTTCAAGTCGAAAATTGGTGAAATATCGCTCGACCTGAGGACTGCATCATTAGTATTTTCCCGGAAAAATTTTCCAAAGACAGTGCGCGAGTGAAAAACGAATAATTAACGTGTGAAGTGCAAGTGAGTGAACGGTAATGTCATACTACTTCCGTGAAAAGCCAAAATTCGGTGACAAAGTCGGGGACAAGGACGAAGACTTCATCCAGAAAATCAAGCAACAATTCGACGATGACAAGTCATTCTTCGAGAGATCCAGGCGTGATCCCTTTGATCGTCATCCCGGCTTTTCAAGAGTGAGTACTTTTTTTTTTAGCGGGAAAAAAATATCACCTCTGATGCACCTTGGGAGATCGTTTCACGAGCCCCAATAAACGTGCACGTGTTCTCCGATAACGGATGTAAATATTCCACAAAAATAACGAGAGTCGCAATTAACCACCGATTACGGTTGGCAAATTCAAATTCCGATGTCAGAATTATGTACAGGCAATTAAGATAAAAATGATGGAATGCTGTGAAAAAAATCCGTAAAAATTCCATAATCTTCAAATTCTATATTTCTATATTTCTCTCTGACTGGAATTGCGCATAAAAAAATGTACACAGAATTTTTTTACGTAAGATATCATTGCAAATGATCTGATTACAGCCTAGTTATTAATGAATACTAGCATTGATGTTATTCACAACTGAGACATTAATTGGCCTAGTCACTGGTTAACTCGATGCATAAACGATATGTCTCGTCGAGATTTCCATTTCGATAAAATCTCATGGCTTTTTCTATGCACTTGTTACGTATTACGTGTTTACGGTTGCACTTTATGGGACGTTTAATGTACGTCGTAGATTTTGAGGAGAAGAGATAGAATTCCCAGGGTGAAATAATCGTTGAAGGGTGAATCACCCCTCCAGTGAATAGAGGGGCGACCCTCCTTTGTATCCAATCTCTCATTGAGGATCGAATAAAATTTCTTTGTCAGGAAATTTCGGTATAGAAAATTATTCGACTGACAGCGCCAGAAAATTAAGCGACTCTCGTTAAATTTCCCTCCACTGGGGGAAAAATTATGATCGTTTTAATCGGATGATGTAGGGGTGCACAAAGAAATATATTTATCCGAGCAATTTCCTTGGGTTGATGAATGTCCTCAGGTATAATGCATCAACGAGTGGGAGGGATAACACAGAATGGCATGTGACAATAACAAAAATGACATCGCAAAATATTTTCCGGTGTTTTATTCTCGGAAGTACTGGGTTCATCAAACCATTACTTCAAAGAGAACTCTTGCATGCCCCACTTTCTGGCAAGAGTACTTTTTTTCTAGTTGCGAAATTCGATAAAATGTGCCAAAGCGGAATATTCCTTCTAATCCAATTATTTCCTAAAGTACTCTTCAATGCAAGCATGACCTTGAGGGAATATTCAAATTTATGAAAAACATTTCAACTCCTCCCGACAAATAAAATCACATTTTCCAATGAGGAAAATCGATGAATAAACCGTTTACACCCCGATATTCGTTAAAATGAGTTTCCAAGTTTTCCCGAGAGACCAGAGGGGAAACTGAAATGCGAATCCCCTGGATTATCGTACTATTGTCTGGGCATTTCCCAACACAATGGCACGTGAAAACGTCGATATAATTTATTGAACACTCGTTTTGGCAATGATTGATCTGCATTAAATGATTGCAAATCACTTGGAGAGTTCTCCGATGGTCCACCGAGTTGATGTCGCATCGGTAATTGCAGCGCAATGTATCTTTAAAAATAAAGACAATGATCTAATTTTATTGAGTCGAAAGTGTATCGCACTTTCGGTGTTCTTAACGGGGGCCGTTTTGAGAACACCAAGGCGGGGGAATGTTCTCGTCAGCTCTAGAAGAAAATTCTCAAAATAGCACTGATCCGAGGGTATTTTACTCGGTGGCAAACAGAAGTTCGATTCGATTTCAAATAATCTTTGGAATCTATATCACTCTGTATTATTTCAGTTGGGATGAACGGATACCCCATTTATTTACTCCATTCTTAAAAATTCACATTTTTTAATATTTTTAGTTTATTGACGAACGGATACGAAAATATTTGATTGTGGAAGGGGGAAGGTCCTCGACGCATAAAATTCTCGAGGAATTCGCGAATAATTTATCAATATTCAATGTGAACTCCAGCTGTTTCAATATTGAAATGGAAAGAATAAGAGGAAAAGTTTATGAAAACCAGACGATCTGTCTGGTGTCGCAGGGTACGTAAATCCGGGATTAAGGGTTGAAGGGTGAATTCGCAATTTCAATGACGTACCCCTCAAATATTGGCTCTCCTTTGAGGGATTCCCCTCCATCTCAGACGTTCAAAAATCTCGAATTAAAAACACAGAACACCAAATACTAGTATATCTTACCTGAATTGCTCCCAAATTTTTCAATCAAATTTTCTCTCAGAATTAAAAGGATGTATAAGCTCGGACATAATTCTTCGCTAAAAACCATTTCTCGCGTGTACGTGTTTTTAATTTTTAATTGGAGTGGCATAATCCCCGAAAGTGCACATTTTCCGGGTCCATTCAACAGACATTTTCCAAAACAATAGTAAAAGTTGTTTTCATCTACCATAAAAGGGCAACTGACGCACCTTTCAATCTCCTCATTCACTCGCACTTTCAACTTTCCGGGACGTGTGCGCGAGTTCAAGAACCCCGATAAAACAATATTGTTGATCACCAAAGATAACATATTTTTCCGCGGACTAGAACCGAGAGGATGTGAAAATAAACCTGAAATTTACTGACACGAAAGAAAATAATATTCTCCACGAGTGGGTGTGGTGTTCTAGAAACGTTTAGCCTACACACAAGGATTCCATTAAACATTACCGGGTAGTTTAAACTATATACATGTGTTTCACATTCATTGGAAGAATTCATTAAACGGTTCCTATAACACCCGGTACATAATACGGAATAATTAACATCCAGTTGATTAGTGGAGTGGAGTTAATTATACGAGAGGCATAGATGCATGAGTTTCGTAGATCAATCGTGATTTTTAAAAACATCTTATCATTCAACTGAATCATTTACGATACGACACGTTCTACTATTGCACCATTGTCCCCAGATCATTAATACTTGTCATATTTCATTGCACGGTAATTACACCCTCAACAATGATTTTTGAATTATTATTTGCGGATGTGGGTCAAGTAGCAGTCTTTCTACTGGAGTCAGACTCCATCAAATCACATGCAAATATTATAACCAATGGAAAGTATTCAGAGAGAAAGGGAATAAAGTGAGTCAGTCATTCGAACAACCTGTCTCTCTTGGTGAACACATGTATACAGATGTGACGTCATAAAAATGGGCGATCATGGCAGTCTCATGACTAGACACTGACGACCTCCTCGGGCCACATGTACTCCTGATCCTACTATCGATCAGCGTAGATCATCGATCGTCATTATCGATGATTTCGAGCGACCTCTGGAAGATCGAGACTTTGGGATCCGAATTTTGAGGATTTTTCTATTGTTTTGGCAGTTTTATATTTTTGGGATGAGATCATTCCTTTGATGGCATTCCTCGTTGGAGATCATGGCTTCATCTTACTGGAGTCACTACTTGGAGACAACCGTTAAGGTTGACACCGGTAGATGGCTCAACCAGAAAATAAATTCAATCCCTAAAAAATCTGCTGGCACTGATGTATCCACTGTCATGATGGATTTTTCATTGGGATTAATTAGGAAATTTATTGGGAGTTCAATTCATTCAGAGAGGATAGGTGGAATATTTTTTTTCTAGGAAATACGTATTTATGGTGACCTTTTGTTGAAGGGTGAGGGTTGACCTTGGCACCTTGCGTGATTCTCCTTTAAAAGGAGGTCAAATTACAGCGTAAACAGCTGGTCAGGCGAATCAATGGTTTTAATATTAAAGTGGGCCAGACAGCGTACCAAGAAGTTACGTGACGTCTTGTAATACTCTCGATATTTTCTCATATCAGCCAAGACAGTTTGACGAATGGTGGAGTCTTCGTCTTTTTGAGGATTTTGTGTGGAACATTCGGTCTTTCATTGGGATTATGTTCTTTTGTACTCTGGGCTTGCATGACTCCTCATTTCCAGTATTACTTGTTTGTATCGATTTTTCGTCGACGCAAGTCCTGGAGAAACTGACCTTCTTCCTGGAAAACTCAAATTCTCCATTCTCAATTATTCTCGTTCATTTTTATTCGCGTTGGTGTACATTTTACACACTTGGAGGAAAATTGATCTTTCCCAGGCAGTCGTGAAGTTAAAAATATTTTTTAAACAACTGGTACTGTTTACCCAACGAGAAATCGTGTTCAAGTCACGTTTAACTTCATCGGTTACAATTTCAACTTCATTCTCATCAGTAGTACATTCTTGGGGCACGAAATACGAGGGTATTATTATGCCCCGAAAATTTATACGACTGAAAATCGCGTTGGCCACCTGCCAATGATGAATCGCAGGACAATTTTCGCTATCTCATGATCGAAATTATGATTAATTAAATATCTCAAATCGTCGCGATTATATTAATCGTAATGATTTCAAGCTGTGATTAAAGTACGGGGGAATCAACTGTCGACAGGGAGATCATTAGCAGAACCGGTACTCAAGTGCAATGGAAAGGGAAAAAAGGAAGAATATCCCGAAAGGAATAATAATTGTACAATTAATCGCAAAACTTATCGTGCCATGGAAATTCGATTTTCTTCTCCTCTTCAGTTTTCTTTCGTTAATATCTATTTTAATGATGAGACAATTATCCTCTCCACAATTTTTGGTGCAGCCTTGACAAATTATAATTTTAAATTATTTTCACATAAAAATTCTGTGAGCAGGTGATTTGGAGGAAACTGACATTTCTGGTGATTATTAAAAAAAATTCTTAAATGCATTTAAAGGATTTTTAAGAGAATTGACAGTTCAATTTTTTTAGGGGTTGGAATGAAAAAAAAAATCTTACTGTTTGTATTCTGCCACGTGCCAATGTTTTCATGCAGAAGAAAGTGCATACCTCTATATTCTCTATCTACAACAATTCTATAGTTTTTTGGCCCCTTCTAGAGGTGACTAGAACGACACCGAAGTTTCTGGTAATTTTCCTGAGCCATGTGCTACCGTTGTTGTGCACAGACAAACCCACACAGCTGATTCAACCAATCAGAATTCGAATCATCGCTCCACACATCTATATGAATCCCCTGGCCATGAGTTGGTCTGTCAGTATCGCCATCGACTCTGAGCAAGTAGCACACGAGGAATTCGAGCTTGATTTTTAAAAAATTGCAGTGAAAACGAATTTCAGATAATAAAAGTGATACACTGTACCAACACGACATTAATTTTGATAAAACTAATCACCAGGGAGGACATACGCAATCGGTAATTGACAGTCTAAAAAATTAGTGTGTTCCCCAGAGCCTGCAGTAACAAGTTGATTAATTATCGCTTTTTGGTTAAATTATCACCAAGGTGTTAGAGGGGAGGGGGTTGACTTAATCGTGTGTCTCCCGAACCACAAAAAAATGGATTCGCCTGTCATCGTCGACACAGCATCCAAATTTGGCCGAAATCTGGACCCTGTAAGTGTTTTTTTTTCCTCCAATGAAACAACTCCCACGAAAATATTTCGTATTGTTTCCTTGACGATGAAAAATTTGACGGATTAATTATTTTAACTCCAACTCTCTCCGAAATTTTTCTGTGACGAACAAAATGAACGGTAGTACTATTTGCTTTTGTTCTTTAATTGTCTGCTTCTTGAATTTATTTCTCGGGGTAAACCGGACGTCCTTGTTTCATTTGCCGCTGGTTTCAAACATCGGTGTGACCTCGGCGCAGGCGCCATCATCGATCAACCGCATGTGAAACCGATTCGAGACATTTCGAGAAAATGAGATTGTTCGAGAATTTTCGATGGATTGAGAAGGCGTTGGCCCCTTCCCTCGTCACATTTAATTATCCCCCTGGCAAACCGCAGGGGCCCCTCCTGCTTGATTAACGCGCGATGTAATTATACGCATAATGCTACTGAATAATTCCCATTCATGATCTTAATCGCACTTGCATCGTTTATTTCAAATTGTATTCTAACCGGTAGTCTCATCGGACGTTACTCAATGCTACATTAATTGAAGATTGTAATTTGGAGTTATTTATGGGGACGCATTGTCTCCTATTTGTTTTATAAATCCAAAGGACAGGCGAGATCGTCGAAAAATGTGAGATTTTTTTTATTTTCAGTGTTATTGGAGTAATGTATCATTTTTTTCTTTCTAACTTTACTTTTTTATTTTTCATGGACATTCGAGCTTCAGAAAACACTCTAGCAACTCGGTTGCTAATAATATCCAAAACACTCGTGTGCGGGTAAATGGTTTCTCAGTCGTCCTCGTCTTGTCTGCGAATGTGCGTGAACTACGTTTTGGTTTACGAAAAATTTGTTGCAGTATTCTGAAATATTCAACGTATCGCGAACACCTGCATGTTAATCCTGGAATTACGGTATTTATATTTATGCGGCTTGAGCTGTTGACGAATTTATAGATACGTAATAACGCGCGTGTATTCTCGTTGATGAAACAACTTCAACTCCTTTTTTTTTCCCCGTTCTTTTTACTATTTTTTTTTACCACCTGTGAGCGATTATTAACGCTCTTCCAAAAATTCTCGTTTATTCAAATGAAAAACCGGTTTTATGAAGAACAAAACAGTCTCGCACAACGCGAAGTAAAATATGTATTTTGATTATGTCGTAAAATAATTTTTAGGTGACAGATGTCACGTCAGCGGTGAAAATAAAATATATCGAGTACGTCACAACTTTCGTTTTTTCCCGAAAACATCCCTCGAAGATAAATAATCCAGTATCAATTTCAGAGGCGTGATTCCTCCCATAATCAAATGACAAGTAATCGAACTGCAATTTCTATCCAACCACTATTTACCGCATACCACAGCGATGATCCTCCACGTCTCTTACATAATATCCCTTTTCATTCTCCAAGTTGTAAAATCATAGTTCAAACGTACAGTTGATATTTCCGAATATATCTGTACAATGATTCACTAACGATCTTCTTATCTCATAGGATTCTTGGAAAAGTACTCGAAAGAAACTAAACTAAAAATATTCCAGTACACCGGCTTAATGAATACCCCCTCATCACCGAAACTTTTGAAATATTCGATTTAGCCCGTCTCTCAATGCCATCGATCAAAGCGGCTTCTTCTATCGATAAAATTTCGACAAAAACAGGCCCCACAATTCGACTCGACACCAAAGAAACACAAGTGCACTTCAGCCGTGGCCCACTTTCTTCGGAATATCCCCGTTGCCTGAATAAGTTGACATTAACCCACTTAAATCCCCCATTAAACCATCTCCCAACGTCCCAAAAAAAATCCCAAAAAAAAAAACACCACAAAATTATGCGTCTAAAATACTGGATGAGCATTCATAACTCAATTAATTCCAAATGAAAAAGAAAAATTCAGTGTAATCACACCTCCCACGTGTGACACGAGCTTGACGTCACCCCCGTATTTATTCCCTTCACAAATGTGAGAACAAAATCACGGAAAAGATCATAAAAGGCAGGGATTGTGTGGAATGCCGTTCCCAAAGGGGAAATAGAAGTTTCAACTCATTTGGTAATGTCCATATGTAATAGTGTCATATTCCCAGAACACCAGGTGTTTCACGTAACGCCTTGTAACCCAATTATTCACATATATACAAAACTCGTGCATAAAATATTATTTTCATGCCCACAGGGATGATTCATTAATAAATTCACAATTGGACAATCATGCATTAATGTTTAATTGCCATGATTGATTGCATTATCTCACAGTTAACTAGTTCATTGTTTTTTTCGTCGTCTCATTTGGACAATCGATCAATCAATTAGTCAATTATTGAAAGCATAATGAATCTAAGGAAGAAAATACTTTGTTGTAGATTCGTCATTTTTTTTTTATTTGCATTCACCATCGTGACCGCATATGGATATTACTCGGTGGACACCTGTGCAATCGATTGTATTTGCCTTTTAAATTTCTGTGGATGATCAATCGCTACAATTCTAGCGAATTCCCAAGTCTTTTGTTATCCCGGAATGTCGACAATTTTCGAGATAAGTCATTTCGTTGTGAAAATATAGAAGGGTGGATACTAGACGTAAAGAACAAAATGAACATTTCTTGTTCTTCATGATTCATTGCCGAGCCTCCGCACGTACGAGAATAATTTTGGTATCTTTAAATGGTTATGGGGAATGTTTCAATCTGTTATGTTCATGCACTGTGTTGAATTCATGACGGCCGTTTCCTGGAGACATTTCAGTGATGCATGGACGAGATAAATCATGATGGGTTTGATAAACAGAAGCTGGAGAAAAATGAGAAATTGTGGAGGCTTGGTGATAAGTGTAAAGTCCAGTCTTGGTAACAGTAGGTGTGCGATTTTCTGTGACGTAGTATGAAAGAATTACGCATTCATGGCCGTGACGACAGTCGGGAATATCGCCCACGTTATGTATGCGAATAAACTACAACGTTGCTTTCTGTCGTGTCTGGATGTATCCTATACATCTGTCTTACGTTTTTTTTTTTTCTTTCTATTTCACTGGCTGATCTCAGATGAACCGTTTTTTAAATCTAACATCGTGCGCCCAGCAACAATTCCATTCGTTTCCTTTTAAGTCCAGTCTAATCATTCGCTCATTTGTGAAGACATGCTTCGTAAATCAGGATAATTGTTTTTAATTCAGAAACAATTTCCTGAATGGAAACTTTATGGTGTGATAAAATATTTAATTTCACGGTATTTGCCACTGCTTCGCTGAATTTATTTCAATGATAATTCGGTTAAAAATTATTTGTCGGTTGTCTATGAAATTTTCCAGTATTTTCCACTCAAGGAAATTTCTTCTTTTTTTTTTACATTTCATTCAATCATTTTTAGTTTTCAAAAAACTTCTCGATAACTGGAAAATTTGATCTAATCTTTGGGAATTCCTCATGTTTTCAGGGTTTCGGCTTTGACGACGAGGGTTTCGGCCGGCGCAACAAAGACATAAGATCTCACTTAGACGATCTAGCCGCGAGGCATCCGGAATTCGCGGATCATCTCCTTGGGCCCCCGTGGGGCGATTTCACACTGCCCCGAAGACGTGGCTCTGGTGCATCCCACCAAAGTCACCCGGACGAGGACACCAGGAGTCAGGCAAGTGGTAGTAGTGCAGCAAGTGCAGCGAGTGGTGCCAGTGGTGTGAGTTCACACGGTGATCCTGAGACAATATTCGAAGAGAGCCAAACGAAGATCCCCCAATACGGCCTCCGAAATACAGTGGACACCAGCCAAAACCCCCACAACATGCAGAATCAGGATAAAGGAGGCAGAGGCCAGAGATCGATGTCAGCACCACCCGAGAACCGACCGGATGACAATCAGCCCCAGGAGGGCCAAAATCCACGTTTCGTATCTCGAGTTGATATTACCCCGAAGTTTAACAACCAGACGACTGATAAATCGTCGAAGCCACAGCAATCTCAAGGGCATCCGAAACAGCAGCAGAGCAATGTCCGGCACATACCAATTTTCGTGGAGGGAAGAGATGAACCGGTGATTGCCAAGAGCCAAGAAGAGGCTGTACATAATAAACAGCCATCACCACCGAGATTCACCAGCCAACCCTCACCCCCGAGGTACCACCAGTCCTTCGATTCACCCCCACACTTCCACAGACCATCTCACTTCACATCCGAACGATTTGGCCGACCACGTGAATGGAAACAATTCACTGAAGATGTTTTTGATGGCCCTTTCGAGGAAATCCGTCGAACTCACTCGCCATTTCGGCAGCAGGCACAGCGTCAGCCCAGGGGCACCGAGCCACATTTTCAGAGTCCACAACAGCCTCCACAACAGGAGAGACCACCTGAGAAAGCTCGACAAGAGCCTGAGCCTGACAAGCCCAAACAGCAGATTCAACCTAAGGATCCGTTAGAGCGGGTTGCCCTGGTTCAACAGGAAGTCGATTCACTTCATGAACAAGTTAAACTCTGGAATGGAAATACGAGGCAGGATAAACAGTATATTTATCTCGATGAGATGTTGACGAGGGAATTGATCAAGCTGGATGACATCGATACTGAGGGTAAAGAGGCTGTCAGACAGTCTCGTAAGAATACGATTAAGAGTATACAGGATGCGATCAGTCTGTTGGAGTCGAAGGCACCTCTCCCTGGACAGACACCAGTGAAAGAGCTGTCATCACCCCCGGAATTCAATGAAACTACGAATGAAGGACAGAGTGTGAGTGATGCAGAGCCAATGGATATGGAGAAGAAGCCTGAGGATGAGGTGAAACCCATTCCTCTTCCTGCTCCATCGTCACCCATTAAGGAATCAGCTGCACCTCAGGATGATTCTCCAATAAGTGTCCAGGGCGACACGGCTGAAGAGGTACCTCTTCCAGATCCCAATGTCGCGATACCGATGGAGGGAATTCCTGACAGTACTGCCATGGAAGTCCAGACTGATCAAGAGCAGAAGAATCGAGCAACGAATGAAGACACACCGAAAATATCAAAATCGCCAAAGAAGGTGAAGAAAACTAAAAAGCAGACGCCCGTCTCGGTGGAGCCTATTCCATTGCCCGGTCCCGAGAGCCATCAGACAAATTGAATAAATGAATATGTAATTTGAATAAAATTATGATTAAATTGTACGTGAAATTGAGCTGAAAGTGATAGATTCTGATACTGAAGATATTTGTTTGCATCTTAATGAGTGGATGATGTATCTTTGGTTTTACGGGGAATTTAGGAGACTGATTTTATATTCAGTTCCAATGAATTATAAATCTAGTGAGAGTATTAGATGCACAGCCGTGAATTTCTCTCACTATTACAGTGCCAGAGCGCGATAAGTGATTCGTGGATCATTTGCCTCGTTTTTTTTACGCTACGAAGATATTAATTATTATTTGGCGAAATTGTTATTTTTACCTCAGACTCGTTGTGATCTTCTCAGAAAGATTGTTCTCCTTTAGATGGGAGTGAAGTACACCTTGTCCAGTAGTTTTTTCGGTTATTGTAATTTAAAACAAAATGAAGGTAGATTTGTTGTAGCGGAAATCAATAAAGCGCGACAAGTTATCAAAATGTAAAAGTGAATGTATGATTATTTAAATATAATTATTACCCACATTTTGAATTATGAGTGATTTGGTGTCTTTGTGATTTAATTGGGGCATTTTTTTAAATTTTTCCTTTCATTTTCAATTTTTTAACGTAAAAATTCGTGAAATGTCGTCACCTCTGACGTTTTCTGGGAGCAGCTGTTATTTTTTTTTCTTTATCATTCCTAGAAATGGAATGAGAAGGTGGTCCTCGACAGTCATGAAATTCCAATAGCAGAAACTATTAAGGTTCAAGGAGGGCATACGAGCGAGTGCCAGGTCATCAGGCCAAGTATCATTTCCTGTTTTTTATTCTTGTATTATTTTCGCAATGTGAAGCCAGCATCCACTTCTAACCAGTTACAAATGTACCATCTGACTTTTAGAATGTGAAAATCTTCGGGGAGGCCATTACACTTGAGAATATGAGCCCTCGTGAATTGATGTTACACATTCTTTACAATTGACCGTACGACTTGCTCGAGTGAACGCATTTTTATGGTGCCTGTCTGGTCTATTCAGAGATACAACGGGCAGGCATGGAAAAATCTGGCTGCCTTTTGATGAAGAGATGTACAGCTAATGTACGGTTGTACATCCAGAGGATTACTCCCATTGTTATAATAAAACTGACGGACATTTTTACTCTCTGGGAAATTTACTCGAGAAACTGGAAATTGTCCCAGCATTTGCGAATCCATCAGATTCATATTCAAGCTGTAATTTCCGTCCTTGAGTATTTTTTCTTTGTGGATTATCCACAAATATGAAATTATAAGGATGACATCAGCGTTCCTCTTACAAATTTGGGGCTCATTATGTGGAGAAAATAATAAAGCTTAGATGCAGCCAAAATTCATAAGCTTGGATACAAATAATTTCAATGATGAGATAAACAGAACTTTTTAGTTATAACTTGAAACTGAATCTAATTAAAAATGAAAAATAGAGAAAATGGAGAACTCCCCGGAACAGTATCGCAGAAATTCGTGGGAGATATATTTTTTTTTTTGTTCAAAATGTCGAATAAAAGGAGATTTTTAAGTAAAAATTTGGCACGACAGCATAAGGAGACGTCTATAAATAGAGGGTTGCCACTTGGGATTGTAAAGGAGAGTAGGTGTTTTTGCGTCGCGACACTGACACGGCGTCGCTGGGAAATCCCCTGCGATTGATACCATCGTCAAATGAGTCATAAGAATTTTTATTTATTTTTTAAAATTCTATACAATTCAAAAGCCTCTGGATTCTTTCGTCCGAGCTTGAAGCATTAACAGCGTGATTAGAAAATATTTGTGTAGTAAAAGCATCTAGATGTATTTTGGACGGAATTCAATCTGGAATGGTTTTTCGTGTCTTCACTGGCACCGTTTTGTGTTTCTCCATTGCGTCGTGGTATTCTGTAAAACAGGTTGGACAATACAAGTCACCGGTGCAGCCAAGACACTGAACCAAATTCTTCGTTGCATCACATATTGCGCACTGCAGCTCTTCATCGGAGTCGTATTGAATAGGAACCTGATTTCAAATTAATATCATTACTTGTACTATTTCTATGAATTATTAATAGCGAGTTTACCTCCACCTCCATCTCCTCATCACCCTCTGCGACCCCATATTTTTTTTCCAGGACAGCTTCAGCAAGTGCCCTGGAAACGATATTCCTGGTGACAGTCGCCTCGTCGAGATCTTCGGGAATTTCTGATTTCGAGGGATCAATTCCCTTGAGTTTGCTCAGCCTTCGGTCAATATCTTCATCGACTTGTGCATCATGCTTCGAGAGCTCGAGTCTCTCCATGTACTCACGGATCAGGTCATCGGACTTTTGATCGTCTGACCTCGTGTCAAACTTGTAGACATTTGACGCCGGTTTATAATCGGGATCCTCGTCTTTGAGAAGAGCCAATCGCCGTCGAATCTCATCTGTGGTGACAGGTGGTGGCTTCTTATCTGCCTCTTTCAATTTCTTTAATCTTTCGACGATGGCTTGATCCTCTGGTTCTAATCCTGTTTTGAATTCGTCCCAGCGGTCCTGTTTATATATTACAATCGGGGGCTTCACTGGATTTCCCAAGGCTTCGAGCCTGAAACAGAGAAGCCACTGTTTAGTCAAGTATTCATCGAATAAGAACTATTAGTTGAATCGAATCGTTAATTAACGCCTCTTTAAAAAATCTGTGGAATAATTGATAATTACCTTCGTTCAATGTCGACAGTAGCCAAGGGTACGGATTCCTCTTCTGGAGTTGGTAATCCATCAGATCCAGCCCCTGAACTCTCTCCGGATTGTGACATTTGTTTATTGTAACAAGGACCACAGATTTTCTTCACGCTGTTATCTGTCAGCTTACACTTGTACTTGAGGCATTTACTGCAGTAAGAAAATCCACATTTCGGGCATCCATTCTGATCCAATGAGGAATCGAACGTTTCGAGCAATTAATTTATTTAAAAAAAAATAAGCCGAAGTAATTTGACAGATGAGCTAACCTCATCGTTCATTAACAAATGAATTTTGTTGTCTCACCTCGCGTGTGAAGAATGAAAATTTACTCTGGCACGAGGTGCACGACATTATAGATAACCACCAGATTTTCAATATTTATTTCAATAAATATTGCACAATTTTATGAGAGAATTCGTTGGATATTACTGCGACTTATTTGTTGCTGTGAATTAATCAGCTGACTGATCTGTATTATCGATGGAGTCTCGTCCTGGAGGAGATTTGAAATTTTTGGAATGACGATACACTCACTGCATCAATCAACATTCAGTATTGGAATAAAAAATGGGAATTACCAAGTGCCAAAAAGTTGTGAGAAGCTTCAGTTTCAATGATTTTCATAAATCCTCTATTGGACCAGCAATTTTGGATAAACAGAATCCCTTCATGCGTATTCTAGAAATCGATTTATTGGTTTTATTAACAGTGGGATACTATTTTCGGAGATTCACTCGAGCAATTAAACCCATGCTGAGATTAATCATGACTGCGAGCTTTGGAATTACCTTGTTATTGACTGCTTTATTGATCCACTCCTCTTTAAATCGATCGTCCTCCAGAGAACTGGTAATTACTGGACAGTGGCAGAATACTAATTACTTGATGCAACTGGAACTGGAACGATTGAAAATTAAGACTTTGAGTCTGGAACTGACAATTAGGAAAATGGTGCGTCTCTAGAAATTATCTTCGACATTTCGGTTCATTTTAGGAAATTATATAATTCCAGAATTTCCAATTAAACGCAATACGTTCGCATAGCAAAAATCATCATGAAATTTTAGCGGATTTTGCTTCAGAGTCTGCTGGAGGCTCGATCGTTGACACTCCTGGAACAGAATCGTACCATGACCAGAATCAAATTTTCCGATTATTCGGTATTCCAATCTGGAAACCCAATTATTTCACTCCTCGTAAAGTCATTCAGGTATACTCACGAAAAAATGAGTAAGAGATAAATTGTATTCCTTTACGATATTAAAAATAATTATAATGATTGTCCGTAGCCATGGAGTCAAGCTGGAGAATGCTGGGCATTTCATGGCACTCAAGGAAAAATTGAGATCGAACTCGCGTATTCAACGTACGTCGATAGAGTGACTTTGGAACATATTTCGGCTAGTGCATCATTGACTGGGAACATTAATTCAGCCCCTAAAGAATTTTATGTTCTTGTAAGATGATTTGATTGAATTGGAAATACAGACAATCAAATTCGACTTCATTTCCACACAGAATTAACTAATTATATTTCCAGGGAAAATTTATTGACGAATATGTGGAAATCGGTCGATTTGTATACGAAATTCTAGGACCTCCGTCTCAAATGTTTCAAATTACGGTATTATCATTTTATAAATTTATTAAATGGAAATGATTTCTCAATTCAATTGGACACTAATAATTGAAAAAAATTGGATCTCTGTTGCTTTTAGGAGAAAGGTGTGCAGAATAGACCAATTAAACATATCATGCTGCGAATCATCTCCAACTGGGGAAATCCTGATTACACATGCATCTACCGTTTCAAAGTCCACGGAAAAATCTCTAACGACGTGGAAAATGTGTAGAATAAAATATAAATAATTAATAAGAGAAGTTAGTTTTGTCCTGTTTATTATATTCTCATACAAATTTGCGTCTCAGTGTCAACGAGAATGTCATTACGACCATTTCTCGGCGGCAGATCCACCCCAGTTCTGAGCTGGTGCTTGGGCAGCAGGAGCTGGTGCTGGAGTGGCAGACCATTCGTCTTGTACCTGGGTGGCCCAGTCGCTGGCAGGGGCAAATGCAGCTGGAGCTGGAGCTGGTGCAGCAGCTGGTGCTGGGGCAGAATCGTCAGCCCAGTTTTCAGGTGCTGGAGTTGCATCAACCTCATTGCCCCAGCCAGGGTCAGTCGATGCTGGCTCAGCTGGAGTAAATTCTTTTGGCGGTGGAGCAATTTCCTTGGCTGCTTGCTCTTCCTTCTCAGCCTGTGTCATTCATATTTAGGCCAGATTAGATATTGATAATTCCATCATTATAACGAGTAATCATTTTCCAGAATGTCAGAAAAGATTAAGCCATATTAATCAGCACTGGGACTTATGAATTACAAATTTCTCATCATTTAAGGACCGGTATATCAATTAAAAAATATCCAAATGTAAATACAACTGTCAATTACATTTTGGTAGAAACTTTTAAAAACCATTTTTGTTTTTTTTTCAATTTTTTTTTGACGAATTCAATTACGAGATCAATTGCTTTTTGAGAACCGATTAAATTCCAGAGAAAACGCACCTCCTCAGGATCTCTGTAAAAGAACAGATCGACGACAACATCCCATTTGGATTCGCGTGGGATTGAGCCACGAAGACGGAGTACTTCACGTGCCAACAACCACCACATGAGACCGATACTGTGCAGACTCTTGGTGTTGCATGGAATGGAAATGTCAACGAATCTGAGGGGTGAATCAGTGTTGCAGAATGCAATGACTGGGATGTTGACGTAGCTCGCTTCGGTAATGGGCTGGTGGTCGGATGCTGGGTCGGTGACAATCAGCAGACGAGGCTCACGGAAAGCAGCCTGAAATGAGAGCATCAGCATCATCAATTCATCGTCAGAGGATTGCCTTTAAAAAATAGTCGACTGTATTTTACTTGGATCTGATTGGTGAATGCACCAGGGGTGAATCGTCCAGCAATGGGTGTAGCTCCAGTGTGCGCTGCAAACTTGAGGACAGCCCTCTGTCCAACGGGCCTGGAGCTGATCACGAAGACCTCACTGGGGTGTTCAATAGCGACAATCGCACGAGCAGCCAAGAGAAGTTTCTCCCATGTACGACGGAGATTGATGACATTCACTCCAGCACCTGGAAAAATTATATTTTCATCATCAGACCTGTTCCACAGCTAGTCACGTATTTCTCATATTTTTACTATGCATCCGTATTTTTTTTATTATTCACCGTCCACACGACGTTTGTAGACATACTGCTCCATTTGGTAATTGACGTTCTCAGAACCCAAATGGGTACATGCCGCCAACATTTTCGTAACATCATCCTCTTTGAGGGACAACACATCTAGTCCTCCCGACATCGTTCCGTTGTGGTTGAACTACGAATCAACCTGTGGATAAATTCATGAATATATGACTCTTGAATGACTCGGTGCACGGTTAACCCTACAAAAATCGAACTATTGGAGGTTGTGGTGCTCCACGTGTTGTGTTCCAGCACAAAAGTATCCACTCAAGGGATATTATCTGTTCTGCACGTGATTTCGTTAATGATTCGGATAATTGAGGGTTACAGGTATCACATTCAAATGCTTTATTTATCCAGGAGGAATTATAAATGTCGTATAAATGAAATTTAAATGTTTTAACCTACGTTTTGGGATGCCACTTGGGAGACTTCCTATGTGGAAAGAACGTACGGAAGTCGGCCATGATGGAATTTTAGTAAGTACTCCTTAATCAATAAAATTACTGATTTCAGATAAAAAAAACGACGATAAAAAACCATTTTCTCGGGTATCTTCCTCTCAACAGTAAATAATCAATTATATCAAATAAACTTTCCATGCAACCCCTTTTTTTACTAACTTTGAAAAAATTTCTACAGCCGATGCTTTTTTGCGGGAATTATGAGTTGGCAATTCCATTAATTAACATGAACTTATTATAAGTTTCTCCGCTCACTCTGGAATATATTTCTTGTTTGTAGAATTGCAATTAATTAATTTATGGAATGGGAACAGAATCGTGAGGAATGTATTTTGAAAAAAATGCGTATTTTTTTTGTGTAAACGGTGTAAACGCACATTGTTTCCCCCACCGTTCACCCCGTTGGTTTCAATATGGCGGATGGTAGTTGACATTCACCCTCGGAATTGTTGACTTGTCGAGTTTCACCGCAATTGATCAACAATAACAAATATCGACGGATAATTCAAGATGAATATGTCAGTGGAAAAGAGAAAATATCCATCAGCTTTGCCGACCAATTGGCCAACGAGAGATGAGACCACTAGGAAAACACAGAATCAACTCTCCTCATTGTCCAACTCTGGTAAAGTTGACGTTTACTACTACAGGTACATAATTATCGTTGTAAACAAATTACATTGACGATGAGAATTTTTTGAACATGAATTCATGAATTTCTAGTCGAGGAGTGAGAAATGACACATCTTTAGTTCCCCCGATAAGACAGACAGCCTCGATATTCAAACAACCAGTGACGATTTTCAAAACTCAGGAGGGAAAAGTCAAGGATATCAAGCATGGAAATCAAGAAAAGCCAAAACAGGTATTTAAAATTTTCCCCCAGCTGTGAATAATGTACATAGTCCCTGATATACATTGTTTTCACCTGTGAAATCCCGAGTAATTGATCAAATCATGGAACTAATGAGACTAGGAGGTTTATGTGCGATAAACTTGAATTATGGAAAATCTATGAACTAATTCGTGACTTTAGGATGGGGCCGATAAAACTGACAGCAAGTATGGCTCCCAAGATAAGCCAAAACAGGTAAACTAACTTGGCACGATAAATCATTCTCCAGCTAGCAGAAAAAATAAGTCAGAGTCATGAAAGTTGCATGTGGTTCACAATAACAACCATGTAGATTTTAACGTCCCATTACCTAAACGTTTACTGCACTGTCAATTGATAATTAAATTCAGTCAAGTAGGGAGAAATCTATATATTGGTGATTATTGTTTTTACAATACTTTCAGTTATTCTGGGAGAAAAGATTAGAGGGGCTGAGGGCATGTGATCCCGATGGCTATGAATTCGATGGTATGGATTTACCGAAGACACTGAAGCCAGTTGGACCTTATATTACTGAAGAAACTCTTCTCCAGAGTGTCGCCACAGCCCTCCACGTCTCCTCACAGCCAGTCACCGGACAAACGGGTTCCAAATCTTCCTTAGAAAAAAATCCCGGGGTATTCCTGAATCCAGAACAACCTCTTGTACAGGTAAATCCTCGAAATTCTCTCAATTCCCTCAACGAATTATCCAAAATTATCCAGCTTTAAATTATTTTTTCCTTATTTCCTCCACAGGCTGTCGCAATAGCTGATGATGATATTAAAAGGCAAGAAGACCGAGTTGCATTGGCCAGACAAAAACTTCAAGACGCCTTACGTACAGTTTCGACATAAATTCGAGTAATTAACTAGACAGATTTCATTAATCATCGTGCTCATTCATAATTTTCATACCTAAGTTAATAATTATATAAATAAATCATTTCCACATGAAACAAAAACAATCGAATAAAATATTCATTGAATATACAAAATCATGACAATTGCCTGGCGTTTTTAATGGTTCGTCATTCTCGTCGAGCTAATCAGTTATTTTATAATCTTCATCACCTACTAGGTCTTCTATATTTTTTATTTTTACGATCATTCGTTAAAAAGTGGAAAAAAAATTTGATTCCACTAGAAGTTCTCGTATTTTTCAACTCCACAGATAATAAACCGACTGAGAGGACTGTCTCACATTGTCGTATACTCCGTTTGCACTATATCCCATTATTTCTCCATCTCTGTTCGTGACTGGCGTTTGTGACAAGTTCGCTTTATTTTATTTAAATCTAGCTGCAATAAATAAAGGAGACAATAGCAAGGTAAATTATAAAATTTCCTATTGTTTAATTACCGTATTTAAATATTTGAAGTTTTTCATAGAATGATTTAATAATTTCAGCATTGAATTCGGCTTTTGCCGTGTCATTCTCACCCAAACAACTCCCCGATTACTTTATTCATTCTCATGAATTCAAACTATTTGTTAACTTCATAATATAAATTAATTAACGAATTAATCTCCGTTGTTTCCACCTGTTTTGTAATTTATTATCTGCATTATATATTTTTTTTTCAGTATATAAGACCTTAACCTCCAAAAATGGGAAATCACATTTTGTGATTAGTTCAAAATTATTAATCCATCAGCAAAAAATTAATTAATGATGGAAATACATGAACAACAATTGGACAATAATCTTAAAATTTCAGATGTTCTTAACACGTTCAGAATACGATCGCGGTGTGAATACATTCTCCCCAGAGGGTCGTTTGTTCCAAGTGGAGTACGCAATCGAGGCGATAAAGCTCGGTTCGACAGTCATCGGGATATCCACCTCCGAAGGAGTGGTTTTAGCAGCAGAAAGGCGTATAACATCGCCTCTGATGGAGCCAACGACAATCGAGAAGATCGTCGAAGTCGATAAGCATATTGGGTGCGCTGGATCTGGCCTGATGGCTGACTCGAGGACCATGATCGATCGTGCTCGTGCTGAATGCCAGAATCACTGGTTCATCTACAACGAGAAGATGAGCGTTGAGTCTGTTGCCCAGGCGGTGTCCAATTTGGCTATACAATTTGGGGACAGTGATGACGATGGTAGTGCTATGTCGAGACCCTTTGGTGTTGCTATCCTATTCGCTGGAATTGATGAGAAGGGGCCACAGCTCTTCCACATGGATCCATCAGGGACTTTTGTCCAGTTCGATGCTAAGGCCATTGGCTCGGGGAGTGAAGGTGCACAGCAGTCACTTCAAGAAGTCTTTCATAAGGTATTTAGGATGATGATCATCACGACTATTACTATCATTTTCATTCAAACTGGTAAAATAATTTTTATTTTCAGTCCATGACTCTGAAAGAAGCCATTAAAGCAACGATAACAATTTTGAAACAAGTTATGGAAGAGAAATTGAATGAAACAAACATTGAGCTCATGACGATGACACCGGAGGCCAAATTCCACATGTTCTCTAAGGAGGAATTGCAGGAGGTGATTAAGGACATTGCTTGAATAAAATTTTTACTTACATTTTACAAAAATTGTTAATTAAGAGAAGCAAGAAGTTATCCCGCTGCACTATTCTTCATCAGTGAACATCGACGGTTCCGTTAAAACTCCTTTTTTCATACATGAAAATGATAATTAACTTAAATAAAGCCACTGAAATGAATCCAGTCACTGGGTGGAACGATTCTCTATAAATTTCAATGCCTCATACCTTACAATCAATCCTGAAATCCATACTTGGATTCTCCCGAGACTAGTTAATTGTAGAATTTAATTTTAATTGCCGTATTTATTCCACATGCACAACTGAGCGTGCGGAACGAATATCTATATGACACGATACGTGAATGAAGCATTTTCGCTACAAAGTAATCTCAGATATTGCCACTGTTAGAATGATTGCTATTAATTCCATTTATGAATTATTCTATCGTCCAGGCTATTGAGTGGGTAGCAGTAACTGCTGAAGAATCAGCAAGACTGAGTACCAGTAGCAGATCGTCCTCAAGTCCTAGTCCTTTCCTGACTCCAGTCGCTTCAGTCCTGAGTGGATACTGAAGCAATTGCCTATGAAGATCTTCAAATCCCTCAATTATTAATATAATTATTATTCATATGTCCGGTACGTCCTAAATTTCTCCGCAATTCAATAAATAAAATGGATTCCTAAAATTCATAATTTTCATACATGTCATACGATGCTAAATAATTTTCCAAGTAAAATTAGAGAATGAAAAGTTGAACGATTGAAATATTTTCATTCGAGAGTGAAAATCTATTTAGGTCTCTATTATTGGGCCGCCTCTCTGCGGAGTGGAATGGAGGATCCCATTAAAATCAACAAAACCTCAACCGAATAACAAAAAGTGAGAAAATAAAAGTGGATGGGTGAGTTAACATTCGATTACGAGACGCAAAGCTTTTCAATAGTCCATATCTGGAATCAATAATTAATTTCAATGGTAAAGCTCACTGTGGTGGATTGGTGAAGAGTAGTTTTGGTGGGAATGGGAGAGAATGAGGAATGGGGATGGATCGGTTTTCTCGCCAATGCTGCAGAGCTCGACGCTGCGATGTCCCGATAACGCTTCCCTTTTTATCCCGTTACTCGGGGACCTGTGGGAGGGCAAGTCAAGCTCGCCAGATTATTGGATATTATTCCATTTCAAGCGTTCAATCCCGAGTACGATTCGCTCATACTCTCTCCATTTTCCCTCCAGTTTCAATTTCATCCCTTCTGGATGGGCTTTTTCGACCACTCCTATTTTAAACGTCACCTCGATTCCCATGGACGCCACCCCAGAAATTTGTACCGACTCACTTCAATTTATTAATGAAAAGTGGTGGTTTGTACTCCAAAATTTTCGAAACTCCTTTCATCACCGAAATTTAATTATTGAATTAATAAACAGATTTTTCCATCCGCACATAATAATTATTAATCATCTGCATTGGGAGTGCGCATAAAGGTCTCCATCGAAATTATTGACGTAATCTCCACAATTGGAGAAACTCCACGGGGATAGTAGGGGGAGGGATAAGCCGAAGAAAAGGTTGGGAATAGACAGCAAAGTGCGGGGGATGAGGGGATGAGGGGATGAGAGGATGAGGCACTCAGTGGAAGAGGTACTCTGTAATTAACGGGGGGCTGGTGGTAGATAGTCCCGTTGGAGTACAACCCTGAGAATCCCTGGGGAGCCGATCCCGCTTTCGTATCAGACACCGACACTCTCCAGCATTCAGCATCTCTCAGCCTCAGCCTCAAACCCATGGACTATACGGAGCGAAGCCCTCCCGTTCAAGTTTCGCTACGATAATTGCCTTCGCTTCACAGTCTCGCCGATATAGTACCCTCAATCCACTCCATCTCTTCATCTCCAACCCCACTTCATCTCTCTCTCACTCATCACAATCGCTAAATTCCCCTTACGTCCTTCGCCCTAAACAATCATTTACTGAAAAAAAAATCATAATTCTGCCAAAAAATCGTCTGATAATCTCTCAGATAAACCCGACTGGCCCTCAAGTCCTGACACCTGTCTGTGATTAATTTCCCTTTTTTGTTTCTCCATGTATAATTCTATCGCACATTATTAATCTTCAAAAATGTGAAACCCTAATGGTTATTAAATTGCGAAATACGGGAACGAATTTTTGCGAGAGGGCTTCACTGACTTTAGACTCACTCGGTCTTTTCGTGGAACGTGGAGAATCGGTTAGGGGAATAGGTTAATAATGGTGAGTGAAAAAGAAATAAAATTGAATAAGAGGCAAGTGAAATATGAAAGGGAAACGGACACGGCTTGACGCCACCGCGAGTTGACTTCCTCGTTTATTAGTAACACACGTTAGCTGGTAGAAAACCGGAAGTTTGCAAGTTATATCCAACATAGGAAGAGACTGATACTTACGTGGGCTATAATTTACGGATGGTAGAATCGTCGCACTTTATTTTTTATTTTTTCATATTTTTCCTCGTACCGCCACTTTCCCAAGTGCCAAGTGAAAATCACTTAAAAAATGTCTCATTAAATTTAATTAATTATCCAGGCTTTTTGCATGAAAGCTACGGCGGGTGATCACTGACCGTGCAATTGATTCTCCATTTTCTCATATTTCGATATCGCATGAATTACCAGTACTAACCAGTCGACGAGAGATACCCGAAGAAATTCTCGTGAATCGTTTTCTATATTCACGATTAAAATGGGTAATCGAACAGATGTCTGCAGAAATCGCGGATATTTTCAGCCTTTCACTTTCAGTTTTTTATGTAAAAACAATTGGAATACTGACGATTTACATTTGTACTCGATTTATTTTCATTAGGATTATGAAGAATTTGCTCATATCTTGATGTGCCAGCCGGACTCGACGATGAATTTAATTCGTGACCATTGAGAATTGCAATAACGGGCTATTAACGCGATTACGGTGGACTGAGGTATGTAAGAGGAGATTTGAGATGCCATTTTCCACGCCTGTTGAATGAGAAAAGTGCAAGTCCAATGAAACAAATACCCATACAACAAACTTTTGCTTACTGCTCTGAGAAACTACGAGTGAAAGCAACATACACTTTCATGGATAGACTATTACAGACTGGCCAGTCAACTGTGCACAGCAAGAATGAATTTGCTCGAAAGAAAAGAAAAACCATAATTTCATAGATTTGCTACTTAATCGTAAAAAGGTTGGGCTTCGTATCGTTAAATTCTTATCAAAACGAAAGTGCCAAACCAGGAAGCGTCGACACTATTAAACAAAAAAAATAGCAATAAAGGATGTCCGTTCTCCATTTTCGCCGATTGCAAATAGACCTCACTATTCACTCGACATCGTATAATTAATAGACGTCTTTCACTACCCAGTGAGGACAAAAATCAACTCTAATTACACACATCCTGGAAGTGAATGAAGATTTATTAAGAACTCCTCTGTCATTCGGTAATAATTCTTCTTTATTCAATTTTATTTATAGTACAAAAATATAAAATTCATCCTTTGGAGCTCCGCGTGTTGACACATCATTTTTCTACAGATTATATTACATAATTGAGAGAAGAGAGACAGGGGGGGGGGGATCGATGGAGAAGCTGTACTCGCTGCTTCAATCCTCGGTGCATGAAAATACAAATCACACATAAAAATCTCTGGTCTTCAATTTTAACAATACAAATTTAAAAAAAAAACACAATTTTAATTAATGATGATACTCGCCACCTTCTGAGCCGTAAGAAGGTTGAAAACCGGCATGACCTCCGCCATATCCCCCGCCGTATCCCCCGCCGTATCCACCGGTGTGATCACCGCCCAAATCACCACCACCAAAATCACCGTGCTGCTCACCACCGTAGTGTCCATGATGCTCTTCATGATGCACATGAACAGGTACAGGATACGGTACTTTAACGGGAACAGGTACCTCCTTTTCAACCGGCACCGGTACTTCCTTCTCGATAAAGTACGGCTTATCAACAGGTACTTTAACAGGTACCGGCACTGGTTTTTCAACGGGTACTGGTACATGCTTGTGGACAGTATAGGGCTGTGGTACAGGTACTTTAACAGGTACTGGATATGGTTTCTCAACCGGTACAGGATACGGCCTGTCAACAGGTACTTTGACCTCGTAAGGCACCGGTTTGTCAACAGGTACAGGATACGGTTTTTCAACAGTAACTGGATATGGTTTTGGTACATGCACTGGATATGGCCTGTCAACTGGTACCTTGACTTCGTAAGGCACTGGCTTCTCAACAGGATACGGCGCTGGTACAGGTATCTTCACTTTGACTGGATAAGGCACGTGCTTTTCAACAGTGTAAGGCTGGGGAACGGGTACTTTAACCGGTACTGGTACGTGCTTTTCAACAACGTAAGGCTGTGGTACGTGAACCTTCACCTCGTACGGCCTGTCAACCGGTACTTTAACTTCATACGGTACTTTCTTCTCAACGGTGTAAGGCTGGGGGACGTGGACTGGTACTTTGACAAATACCTTAACTGGATAGGGCACGTGCTTCTCCACTGTGTAAGGCTGTGGTACACCAACTTTTACCTCGTACGGCACATGTTTCTCAACCAGATAAGGTACGTGCTTCGTTACTTCAACTGGCACTGGTATTTTCTTCTCAATTGTCACCGTTTTGACGTGCTCCTCGTGACCATGCGACTCATAACCACCCCCAAATCCACCACCCAGGTCTCCATAACTGTGGCCTAGTCCACGTTTTTCTGTTTTCTTCACTGATTCACCCTCCACCGATGATTCATCCATCTTCTTCGAGGCAGATGCCTCCTCGCTGTACACCCAGGTACTCTGAGAGAGTGCCAGGAGTGCCACGAGGGCTAATTCAATCTAAAATATCGGATTAATTAAATTATTGAAATCATCATTGAAACTTCTTCATGATTCAACAGTCGGGCAGGGGTTCATTGTTGATTTTCGAGGTGGCGGGGTAGTTTCACTCAAATTTTTAAGGATAGGTGGAATTTTATCTGCTCTCTGTTAATTTTCACTATATATTTTCAACTCACCTTTGTTTTCATTCTGCTGCTTACGTGTGTTTTTAGTGTGGCGCTTAACCACTGACTGAACCGCTTCGTTTTCTACGTCTCAGCCTTATATACCCAACGGCATAATAGCCTGGCACTTTCCCTGCACCTCATCACTTATATTATATGTTTCATATATGTTTATTCGATGGTGGATAAATATCTGAAGCGATCGCATTCGAAAGAGATGTCACATATTGGGAAATGTTGATTCGTCGTAATTCGTACGGTATTCCCTGATGATTTTTGGATTTCAAGGAGCTAGATAACTAGAGATTAAATATCTGTAACGCGCATGTAATTCTATGCTCTCGGTGAAGGAAGTGTGTACGGTGTGTAGATACAATAAAAAATTCAAGTTCCAGGATTTACACTTTCCAAATTCCATTTTTAATTATTTTTATGCAATACCAGCGCGAGGATTATTCAGTGTTCGTCTTTGAATGGCATAATTGAATTTAAATAATAAACTGTGGGATAATCGGGAATAATAATCAATTGTGTGACGCAATGGCTGTCGTATTGTTTATTGCTAGGTTTATAATCTCAGGCAGTTTTGTAATTAATTTTTATTTGTGTAACTTTTGGTCAGTCGGGGGTACAATTGAAGATGAGAGTTTTTAATTAAGGCACATCCGAATATGGATGAACTTTTTAAAGATGATAATGTGGTGCAATAAAAACACGTTTTTATCAGGGAAAGTGAGGATGGCCCTCGCTGAGTTATGGATGTCGCAATTTTTATGGAAATCAGTTCGAAATTCGAGATCGGAGATCCCGGGTCACTCTGAATACTCATTCCTTATTCGCGTTTATAAAAAGAAATTAATACTCTCCCCTATAGTACAGTGAAAAGAATATTTTATCGAGACAATTTTTTTCCGGGGAAATATTCCAGTTTTCCACCAGAAATTTACGCTTTCCCATTAAAAAAATACTACTAAAAATATATTGTCACACATTAATTTTCTTTGGATAAATTAATATGATTATTGTCTAGAGAAAATTTGTTCGCGATAATTCGAAAATTTCTCGTATTGTCTGCTGTTAAATGAATTCAATCACACGATCTCTTCCGTGAAAATTCGTTTTCGGCAGAAATAATTTTTCCTTTCACGAGTAACACGTTGAAAGGAAAAGTTGCCAGTAGTAATCCCCCGACTAGCTCACAAATTAATTCTGAAATATGATAATAGCCCCTGAAATTTGTCTAAATTAAAATAGTTACATAAATTCATTCCGATGCTGTCCTTTTCCTCGACGGTAAAATTTCCCATTCCGCTACCTAAATGATAATTTTCCTATTTTTCCCATTGGAAGACATCTCCAATGGGAAGTGAATTCGATTCTTCAGCTCATCCGGAAGGTTTTGCGGAAAAATATCTGTCGTAATCCATTCCATTCTTGTTTGCAATGAAAAGCTAGTGAGTGCAAGGCACTTGAGCATTTAACATTAGCTGTAAATCCGTCTGGACGACCTAGAAGTGAGAGCTCGGGTGTTCCATAAAGACCGGCTCTGGTTATAAACCAAAACAAATCCCATGTGTTTGCTAACACTTTCTTCATTAGCCGCCTATCAATTCTTCCTCAATTTTTTCCACATTTCACTCCATTTCGTTACGTAAAATCCGTATTCCAATTAATCATCCCCCGATATTATAAATTGCATCCGGTGTACAATATTATACATCGAAAGCCCTTCAGGCATTTCCTCCAATTACAAATTACAACTTAAAAAATTTCATTGCAATCAAATAATCACTCATTTAATTATGCGAAATTATGTTCACAATTTTTAATCATTTACAGTTAATTAATCTTCAAGTTTGAACATAAAAATTGATGTTTAAATATTTCTCTTGACTAACCGAATATTTGGTGAAAATATATTTTTTCCTTCGTACGCGTGGAATATCTAATGCATTGTTCAGAGCGTGTTTAATACCATTGCATGTACGGCAACCATTTTGCCTCCCCCTCCCCATTTCACCTTCGTCTCCTCCACGACGTGTTTAATCGTGATAAGTGGTGCATTTGAGTGATTAATGGTTTTTGCACTGAGTGTGATATCTGGGGAACAGGAATTGAAATTTTGAAGATGACGCAAATAAAAATATCAAATTCTCTACCCGAGTGCATCAGCTTCGCTGAAAAATTTCGATTGATAGTACTTAGTGTACTTAGCGCATGCATATCGGTAATTGGAAACTTTTACGTGTTTGCGTGTATTTATAATTCATTTGAATTACCCAGCCGTGAATCCGAAGGGAATTTTCTACCGCACAATTCCCGGGACTCAGTGCTGATTTAGCAAAAAATATTTCTTTTGCATTTGTTAAGTTTTATTTATTTATTCTATCGATCTACTACACTTGGATGATTTCAAGTGCATCTGATGTGTTGACATTGAGAATTATTTATCGAGATGAAACCAATGCGTTACGGAGACTGGTATTTATGATTGGATTGGGTGAAGGTTTATGCAAATTTATCGCGGTTTACGCGGATTGAAGGTGAAATTTTTCCGAGGGGATAACATACTCATCAGATCGGCGCCAATCACAGAAATCGGTTGATTTCATTGAGCTCTCTCGAGGCCAATTGAAATATCCGGGAAATACCAGAGGTGTCCAACGTTTTTATTTATTTTCTCAATCATGTCGATAAAATAATTCAATTAAATCAATAATAATAATAATGATTATTATTATTATTGGATTATTCAACTGAATCGTGAGCAACTTTATTTTCATTTTAATTGCGAACTCTGTCTTTATGTGATATGAAATCAATTGAAATCGGTGAAATCTCGTGATTTCCGAACTGATTTTATGACTTTATGACTCGATAAATAAATACTAGAGAAATTATTCTCTTGATATTAATTCCGGAGATTTTTTTAAGTCGTCAGATGTAAAATTGAATAGTTTTGAATTCGCGGGGTTCTTCAATTTTTTTTTGGGGGGAATTTTTGATGTTTTTTTGAAGTATCAAAGTACATGTAATTCGAATTTCATGCTCCTGCGTACTAATGCCTGAGTAACACGGAATTTGATGATTTGGCGACGGTCTTGACTCTGGCAATGGTAATTGAGATGTCTCTCAGTGCCTGATGCCTCATCCTGCCTGACGTAATTACAAACGCAACAAAAAAGTGAAAAAAATTCTGGAATATAAAGCACCCGCGTGTTTCACTATTTTTTCTCTTTGATCTCTCGAATTGAGGAACTGTCGCTCCATAATTGCAGGTGACCTGTGACAAGCTGTATAATTTTCCACGGAATAAACCGAGTCACTTGATGGAAGAAAAATCCGGCTTTTCATTCAATGGAAAACCGTTTATTTTTGTTGCACCTGCACCAGAGCAAACGACAAAAGAGAAAATTTTGACTTGTCCTGGTGGTGAATGCACCTGCATGTTAGCCTCGCAAATAGTTTGGCTCTTTCATATTTCGGGAGGGATTGTACCTAAACCTCGATACCTAATGCCCCCATGGTCATCCCTTTTGGGTTCCTCAGAAGATGCCCCGGGCACGTGCCTTCCCACTTTCGTGACTTCTCCCTCAATTACAGACTCGCCATTGTCTTTTTTTTTCTCCCTCGACTAATCAAAATTTTTAATCTCCACAAGTATTTCTTCAAACCAGAAAAAAATACTAATCTACGATGAAATACCAATGGTATTGGACAGAGTGTTCAGGAAATATTTCAAACAATGAGTATTTCAATCGAATTATCGTAATTACAAAGGACTTAAGTCCGTTAAATAATTAATTAATGGTTAATAACCGGTATTGTGTATGACTGGATATTAGGTAAAGAAGATAATTGTTAAGCACCTGCTCATGTAATTTGATCAGTGGTCGATGTATTACGCGAATGTTGCTGTGTACAAGGTGTCGTGATTATGTTTAACTGGGCTGGATTCAATGGTACATCAGTACTGTATAACTTGCAAACCAGATCGGGCCATCCGATCCAATAGCCAATTACCGAGAGACACGACGTACATCCGGTATTTAAACCCCGTCATGTTCTAACGGATACAACACTAAACATGTTTCCCCAAATGCTGCGTACACTGCCAGTCATTAATCTAATTCCACTGACCACTAAATATTTTTCACGAAATTATCGGTTTACTTCTCAAAATATTTCATTATAATTCTGAAACAGAAACATACCATAAATTGAAGTTCAATTATTTTTTGAATATTTTCCTCCATTTTCACTGAATTTAAAAAATCGGTGTTTCAATTTTCTCTGTTATAAATTTGATTTAATCCGTTTTCCAAAATTCAAAGTGGAATTGCAGTTTTTTTTCGGAGTATATCAAACCCGTGAAGATTTTTTTTTTTTAAATAAAAGAGTGATGGAGTATAAATGCGTTGAAAAATGCGAGACGATCGGGACAATTGGCCTCGTGCCTTATGAATAAAAAACAACGTGATATTACCACCGCTTATTAAACGAGCAATTGGAGGAAGGGTTTGCGTGGTTAGTCCTGGCATATTGTCCCAGGGAGAAGTAGAAATTAATAACACCCTTTGTGTCGGTGTGTCGATACAATAGCGAGAACCACGCGATTTGTGCGACTCACCGTTCGTTTTTTCGGGTCGCATTAGAAGATACTCATCAACCCATCCTATCCCTCATTATACTCCTCACATAATAGGTAATAATTATCGATTTAATAACGCGGACCAATGGAGGATCTCCTGATCTCTTCTGACAGAAAAAAAAAAACAATTCCACCTTTTTGCGGATGGAACACACATTGAGACACTCGCGACGAAAGTTTGAGCTGTCGGCGTTGAAATTCGAAAAAAAAAATCCTGATAAATAAAAAAAAAATAAAAACAAATGGGAAATATAGGGTGATTCCGGTTGAATCAACTTTTTCTCGCTCTGCGTGCTACAAAATGATGAATGACGTCTGATTACCGCAACTCTATACTGATAAACTCGATGTGAAGGAGCGGACGTGTATCTCGTAATCGAAACGATCAGTAATGAATTTTATGGGAGCTAGGCTCTACAAGTGGTTTGAGGAGGGGAAAATA